CGTTAAAATCGTTGGTATCAGTGATTTTAAGCACACTATAATTGCTTTTCTCATATTTTTATTAAATTTACTGCTACGATTAATTTTACAACCTATCCAAGTACTGTTAAGCAACCAACTGAAAGGGCTGCATTGAGCAAAACTCGCATTTAAGTCAAGAGCTCATCCAAGAAGCGCATTCCCTTTCTATCAAACCATTCGTTGTTATCCCGTACGGCACAGCAGACCATAAAAAGATAGGCCAGTACAGGGTCGCCCCAACTTTCCATTCGCTCCTTGTTCACGTAGCAGTACACCATACATTCCGGATGAACCACAATTCCTCTCTCACCAAATACTTTTCTCAGCAACTCATACATCACCCGCCTATGCTCTATTTTCTTCCTATCGTATGATATAAAACCGTGTTTCAAAATATTCTTCACAAGATCATGAGTGGTCATATCCATAGAATCTATTGAATCGTCCATGCTTGAACTCGATACAGGGATGACATACTGCACAATAAACTTTTCGAAGCCTCTTCTCGTTGCGGCTAGGTCCGACATTCCAGCACGTTGAGTGCTCTCTTTCAAGCTTAAATTGGTGTCCATAATACTACTACCATCTAGTATATCCTTTTGCTGTTCGCTGATATCTTCTCTTTTCTTACATTTTTTTGGTTTCAGGGCCCTTATCACAGCTCTTTCTGTATCGACTCCGTTTCTCTGGCACACGCTTATGTACTGGAAAAAAAGAATGCTCATATTCAAGAAAACCAAGCCTAGGAGATATTTAAAGTGTTTGTTAACGGTGACCGTAAGAATCACAATAACTATTATCGATATAAATTGGTAATATGTGGCTTTGATGATCTTCTCCTTCGTAACCATTTAGAGGGCACCGGGTATTAAAAAATTTTCAGGTCAATGCTTAGCCTGCACAGCGTAAGTTTGCTGCTCCGATTTTCTGTTTTAGAAACACAGAGAAAACAAATCAGCAAGAATGAGTGTTCTGTTATAAGCACTGTGCAATGGTTCACAGAAATAGATTTTTATGGTTTTTTTGCTACCCACCACTCCGTAAGTTTAACCTTGCTGTTACTATTTTAATGTCATTATCGGACTAAATGACTTAAGCAACAAATCGTAGCTATATCATCAGGTCAAAAGCATAACGCGGTATCTTATCATTATCATGTGCAGAGATGAAATGCAAAGAAAAAAGTAAATGTTTTACTTATTTTGTTTGTATGTGCAGTATTTTTTGCGCTTGTGACAGCTATTCGCATGGATTGCTTACCACACGAACGATTCAATTGATCCCATCGTATAGATGACTCATTGATTTGCTTAATCGGGTTATATGCCCATTTTGAATTTAAACGCCCTAGGCACCTTCAAGATTGCCTTGGTCCTATCGAATTGTTCATTCATATCACTGCTCAGTAAATTGTTGAGCAGCTGTTTTAAAGTAACGATCATCATGCTTAAGGAACCCTTTTAAGATTATCGTTTATTTAAACTACTTCAGTATTGAACTTTCACGTTAATTACGTTATCACCCATCGATTTAATACATGAGAATACAACTCGAAAGCTGATTGATCAGTTCTGAAAAATAAATTATTTGACCCTTCGAGAAAAATGAAAACATTTGTTTCACGTATTCGCACTGCATGAAGAGTCTAAAGTTGTTGTACAACTCATTCTTTATGAGATGCACTTAGTCATCATTTACAAACAATATTTTCATTCTATTTTTATTTATTCAACCCCTACTATTATTTGGTTGGCTGTTTTTATGAACACCACCACGTCTAATCAAACTGCATGAAATAAATAACATATCTGCACTTTTAACTTTTGTTTGATGTCCTCAACATTGTTACAAATCATGATAGCATTTACAATATATTTAGATGATTTACCAGAAAGGAATGAAATACATTTGCGAATACAAAATGGATGTAAAAGTAAGTTTTTGGTCAATGTAGCAGAACATAATATCACAATTAAACAGATGTTTTGGTGAACAGTTTGTATGTTCTCATCATCGACTAGCGTTCATTTTTATGTAAAGAATCAAAACTATAAATAAGTTAAGAAGTCGGTGCATTATGCATCCAGATTTTGACAATACGCCAACTGAAAAGTTTTTGGTGGAAAAGACACAATTGGTAAATCCTGGTGGTTCTGCCTGTGCTGTAGATAATCAGCTGATTGTCTACCGCGGCAAAGCCTTATTTATTGATCGGACCTACGAGAGTCTGCAAAATGTTCCTGTGCTCCGTGCACAGTTCTTAACAAAGCACTTCAGTATTGTGCATGTTCCAAAAAAATAATACCAGTTGCAGTAAAAAATAATCAGACAATATCTCTACACCGACATTCCATATCACTATGTGTACCAGAACAGCCGATGGGTATTGCGATAGCGAGGTGATGGCAAGGTCATTACAAGATCGTATGCGGTCAATCCAGAGGAAAAGGAGAGATTCTATCTGAGAATGCTCTTGCTCAATGTGAGAGATGCAACGTCATTCGACGACTTAAGAAGTGCAAACAATGTTGTATATGGCACATCCGAGGAAGCAGCAAGGGCAAAAAATCTTCTGCAGGATGACAGTGAATGAAAGAACATGCTGAGCGAAGCTGCAATGACAGAGACATCTGACCATATCAGAAAGCTGTTCGCATACATCTGTGTGTTCAACAGACCACATGATGCACTTGGACTGTTCAACGAATATGTTGACGATATGTGCGATGACATCGTTAACGAGATATATGGTGATGTGGCCAACATGGCTGACAGCGAAGATCTGACGAACAGAACTATACTCACAACAAACAACGATGCTGCAAAGGAAATCAATGACAGTGTCCTTGACTTGATGATTGGCAACGAAGTGACATACACGAGTGCAGACTCTATTGTCACAGAGGACAATGATGTTGTTGCGAACTATCCGTTAGACTTTCTCAACAAGCAGCAGCCTTCAGGAATGCCACCGCACAAGTTAGTTCTAAAAAGGGGTGCGTTGATAATGCTATTGCGCAACCTTGATCCAGCCAACAGCCTACTCAATGGCACACACCTGGTGGTTGATGAACTCCACACAAACTTCATCATAGCTACTATTGTAACCGGATCCAGGAAAGATAGCAGGGCAGTGATACCAAGGATCGACATGGCACCGAGCGAGACAAAGCTGCCATTCATACTCAAGAGAAGACAGTTTCCGGTTCTTCTTTCGTTTACGATGACAATCCATAAGTCACAGGGTCAGTCATTTGACAAGGTAGGTGTTTATCTGCACAGCCCAGTCTTTGTGCATGGTCAGTTGTATGTAACTCTGTCGAGAGTGGCTATGCAAACGGTCTAAGGGTGTATGTTGCTGACAATGGAGACCATGGAAAGCGTGAGAATGATAAAGTATACACAAGAAATGTTGTGTATAATGAGCTACTAGAATGAAAGTAATTTATTAATTTTGTAACTATACAACAGTTGGTAGAAAGGAATGACCTAATGTTTTAGTTATATTCAAAAGCGCTATTTTGGTATACTATCGATTCATGCACCCATTTTGATAAATGGGATAGCACAGCAAGTCATGCCATGAAAAACCTACATAAACATTCCAGAATTCATAAATAAAAGCTAGAAATATTCCTCAACGCTGTTAGAATGTATATGGTAAATTTAAAGCTCTATATCAATATCAAATAATTATACATATCCAAATAGCATTCAACACAAATAATTTCTGTCTTCATGTTGAATCACAGGTCCAGATTGCAGCCACTAGGCTAAAATGCTAAGGAAGTATAAGCTGGTAACTATAAGTGCTCTAACAACAATACGTACGGTATATGTGACATATTTCAGGTACAGAAATGCGTTATATAATTCATTCAAAGATATGTGCATATGTAACATGCTCCCATACTTACAGTCATTTTATTTACCTGCTCACTGTAAAACACCCAATATCTTGTCAATTACCTCTACGCTGCTCGCTAATACTTTCAAAAACACGCCCACATCGCTACCCATACCCTCCAGTTTCACCTCAATTCGCACATATACACTATCCATCGTAATACCCTCTAAGATCAACTGCACCACATCATCTGTATACACCTGATCAACCACCTGCAAGTTAAAAATGTCCAGTACCTCTTCCTTCGCAACGCTCAGCGACCTGTTCTCCAGTGCAAACGATGTTTTCTTATTATGCGATGGCGTCTTTCCGTGACTGCAGGGTTTGATCGTGTCCAAATAATTTACATTAAAGGGTCGCAGTTCCCTTGTCTCATTTTCGAATTCCTCGGTAGCCGGATCCATTAAGTCGTAGAAGCATACTGCAGAGCATTCTGTATTAATCACGAGCGGTCTTTTGAGCACAACGGTCGTCGAAAAGCCGGCTTTAATTCCGAAGAGCACAGTGGTGGTTTTGCTCACGCCTTCGCCCTGCTTCTCATCGAGGCGCGTACAGCAGTCAACGAATTGAAAATCTCCCTTTGTGTACTCATCGTCGTAGTGCGCACTCTTGCAGAACGCCTTTTCATCCCAGTACTGGTCCTTGCCTTCTTCAACTCCCATGAGCATCTTTCCCTCTGCTATATCCAGATCTTTAGCGGTGTTCTCCATCTTAAGGATCACATAGATAAAGCACTTGAACACGCGCTTGACCAGAACTACCTTCATCTCCTTGTTCAAAAGTACGACCGGCCGCGTTTCCTTTATAAATATGCTTTCTTTTTTTTTATTAGACACGTATTTACTTACGTCTGCGTTCTTTCTATTCATGAAGTAGTAATTGAGTAGATCGTCCTCGTTTTCTTCAAAAAGCCCTTTGCCTGTAAGTCGATTTACACACGCCATTGCATTGTTCCTGACAATCTCGTTTTCAAGAATCAAGCGATTGTACACTGCCACTAGGTACTTTTTGTCCTTGATTAGACCAAGTATGTCATTTGTGATGATGCTGTACTGGCTGTCCTCCAAGTACTCGACAAGCACATCCATGATGAAACTTTTGTTGAGGGCACTTTTGATGGGGCTGTGATCAACATTTTCACCATCGCCATTCTTGCCTTTGACCTCAATTCCCGGGGCATCTGTCGCAGTAGCGCTTTCATCGTCTTCCTCGTAATTGATGTAACACTCATCATCAAGCATATGTTCACCTAGCAGTTCACCATACATGCGCACAATCTCCTTCTTCATCTCCAGACTGCTTCTCTTGAACATTAAAGGTTTCAAGAATCGTGCCATTTCCTCCTCTTTCCCATTCTTCTGCGCGATTGTACCAAACGCTTTAACGATAAGCAACGCCTTCTCATCATCGTACTGCGTAAGATCTGTGTTGGCGATCCTTTCTATCGTGTTGCTGTCGCCTGTCCTGAGCAGTATTCTTAGCGAATGATCGTCGTTTATCTTAATGAGCGAAGGATTAAGCACAGCTACTTTACGCGCGTAATTCTGGCTCAACGCATCGAGAGAGCGCAGAGTGCTCATTCTTATGACAATGTCGTTGCTGTTCAGCAGAATCCCAGCATTGGTTATTGCTTGGCTCAAGAACGGCACAGGATCCTTCATATAGCTTACTTTTCTGAGGGCCTCAGTGAAACAAATCTCGCCACTTATCTTTACGTTCAGGTGATCTCGAAGATTATTTGTGGTGCGTGCTTGCTGCGCACCTGCCATTCCCCGCCCAATCACAGTGTATCTCTGGTCGTAGCCGTCCCTATAAAACGATGAAAACGGCTTTTCAATGCTTTCAAATAGAATGGCATGGTAATGCTGCACAGTCTTCGAAGTGTCCACCTTGTGATACCTCATAAACTCTGTCTTGAGCTTCCCAAAATACGTTATGAGACTGTTCGATGCCTTCCTTACCTGATCGCATGTTGGCTTCCTCTCATCTCCTAGTTCTTTTGCCATCTCTTTCAGCACCATATCACGATGCAATCGCAACAGGCACAGCATTCCTAGGTCCACATCCTTGCATTCCATCACATATTTCATAAAGTCTCCCACCATTTCCTCGGGCACAATCTTAACGAGCAGCCTCAGTCCCAGCTCCTCCTTCTTGTCAATGATGTTGATTGCAACAAATGAATTATCGAACGGCAGCAACAAATTCAAACACACGTACACCAATTGATTTACAAAATTGTTGTTCAGGCTGAACGAGCGCAGAAGAAAAAAAGCGATTTGTTCGGTCTGCTGAGGAGATATCGTGTTGTTCTGAATGTGCTTGAGAAGACTCACCAGCGATTTTATGATGTTGCGTGGTGTGAGGCCCTGCTGAAACGTTGATTTTATCTCGGTCAGAAGTTTTGAGGACATTTTAAATGGGGGCTAAGAATTTGCGATTTTTAAAATTGGGACAACAGGGCGTGTTTTTAATTAATGAGGTATGGTCGCGAGAGGCGCATCGCAGGGTTCGAGGGCAGAAAGGACCGTTTGGAATTGAGATTTAACATAGATTCGAGTGATACGGGGGTTGTACCGTTTAGGAAAAGACGAGTATCGATACGATGATACAAAGGGGTTCTTTACATATGACTGGACAAGCCAATATTATATGCAGTAAACTGCCAGTTAAGGCACGGCAATTGTGCATAGCACCGCATGCGATAGTATTTGTAATACGCATGCAGCCCAAATAATCGGTAAATCCATTTTATTGCCATGAATGTACTTGTCGAAGACAGGCAGTGCTAAATGCCTCGTATTATAAAATACGTTAGAAATAATCGAGAAAAGAAGGATCGCAAAATCCATTAGGCAACAGGAACCTAAATAAGGTATTCATAGCATCAACAATACTTTACTTTATCTTATATCCGATGTTGCCCGGCTTAATCCTGTATTCTGTGGTGGTTCTCTGCCATAGCCGTGAAAGTCTTGGCACATGGTGATGTTTCTGCCGAAATGTTAAGGTGGTATTCTGTGGTAGTTCTCTGCCATAGCCGTGAGAGTCTTGGCACATGGTGATGTTTCTGCCGAAATGTTAAGGTGCATCAGTAGCTGGTGGTATCACCTAAATGTTTCATCAGGTACTGTTTTGCATTTTTGTGGTCAGAGGTCTTCACAAACGTAATTACCCTTCCAATCGTCAACGAGCTAACATTTTTATACTTTGAGCGCCTCTTTGGTTGCTTATAACCTGTGCCTCTGACCTTTCCACACGTATGTATGAACTGAGGTAATTTAAATCCTTGCCCGTTGACCAATGGCACGTTTTATTCGTTCTGTAACCTCGCGCGACTGGTCATTTGGTTCGGCACTCCTATCCTCATAAAACGACTAAATGGTGGTACAGGCTGACAATACAACAATCATCACGCGGCGTATGTTAAAACAGTAAAATAAGTGTGAAAGCCGCACATCTCCTTCATCGATCAGCTGACCGAACACAACAATAAGATTAAACCATTCGCTTGATGATCAATCTCGGTAGCATTTCTACTTCTTATCATTGCATCCTGTACGTAATACGCGTGATAGTGCTCAATTTTTCTTGCAGAGCTGAGGGCGATTCTTCCAAAAATCTGTTACAGCCAGTTTCTCTCAACACTTCCCACTCCATTTATATTGAATGGATAATAAGACTCTAAACCTGTCATATCAATGCAGCAAATCCTTTCTATCACTCTCTTACCTCCGAGGCTTGCTCGTTCCAATTCGTTAATCCTGCCACAAAACAAAAAATATCTTGCCCCTCGCACGGATGCGGCACGACATTCTAAAACCGCGATCGATCAGAAAAACAAAGCTGGCAAATTTACCAACTGCAGTGCCGCAATCATTCACAAAGATAAACCAGAAACGGATGAAAATTGAAAGACCGTGGTCAAAGTGGAAGATGAATACGCGGACAGGTGTGCAATACCGGTATGAGAGAGAAGAAAGTGTGCTGATGGATCGGTATAACGGTCTAGATGAGGGTATAAAGGGGCTGGTGAAGGTTGAAGAATCTTTGGTCAACGTGCTCAGGAACAAAATGAAAAATGATGAGCTGTACAATACCAAGAAGTGAATGCAAAGTACCATGCCGTACAAAGGGACAATAACAGCATTGGTTGTGTGTTACGGGCTAGCAAGCATAATATAGAACGAGAGAACAAAGTTTTTTACATCCTATATTCAGAGAGACACTCGAACCTTTATCTTGAATATGGCGTGGCACGCTTTGGATCAGCATCCTTTCAGGATTAGCGATGTTTCTGCTTCTCATTCTCACAAATAAAGTACATCAAAATTATGTTATGAATTGCACCTCGCCATAGCTGTACGGTTGGTTACACGTCCTTTCTGCCCTCATCACACAAATCGCGGTTTGATCGACTCTTCCACCATTTCATGTTTTATGCGCTAATTTTGTTGTTTATATTCGCATAAACTACTGTTCATGCACTTGTTGTGTTCATAGTTCTTGCTACGCATCCTAACAGCTTTCCATCCGCTAAAAATACCTTTATTGATCTACACGTAAAAACACACTTCTGGTTCGTTAAGACCGACCGTACCCACTATCTTTGATACTCACTCAACAAACCGTTCTCATCTTTATCCCTAACATATACACCAACCCCTCCCACAGATGCCTGAGGAAAGAATCAAAGTCATCAAAGAGCCCGAAGAAGTGGATGAAATTGTTGCAGCACTCACCGGTAAGGTGCACGAGATTGAAGGTAATTTGGAGCAGTTAGCCCGTCGATTGGACGATATCTTGAAAGAGATAGATGAGGAGAGCGAAGAGGGCAAATATGAGGATGAAGAGGTTAAATAAAGTATGAATGGCTGAGTTATGGACTGAGCAATGGTTTAATTGCTCTTGAGGCTCCGTGTGCGGGTTAAATCATGCTTACGTAGATCGATGAAGGTGTCTGGCTAGCGGTACTTTTCACTTTTTGGGGTGAATCGTTCATTCCACTCTCCTATAAATGTTTCATGATTTTTTGTTTTTTCTCGCAATTGCCCAGAACACGGAGGCACGATCTACAGTGCTGTATCGAGAGCATGGTAATAAACCATGTTACAACACGGTTTATTACAGTTTAAGTTTTCACTTCACAATTGCGATGAGAAATTGATTTGCTTGTCTACACTGCGCCGTAAAACAGATTGTGCACAACTACTTTCAGCACGAAAGTGTGTCTGCCTACCACCCCACTAAACCATGCTTAATCTTTCTGTAACGATTGCTTGCTTGTCCAAGCAGGCACCAATTCAATCTTCGATTTACTTCCTTGATTTCGTTACCAAAGGTACGTTTATTTATCTTCTCATATCACAGCCCTGTGCAACACACTTTTCTGGTCCGCTGGAACGGACAGTCTCCGTGATGTACTTCATGTAAAAATACCCCTCCGTAAAAAGCCTCATCATGCCGTTTGATATCACCGAAGACGACATCGCACGTTTTTCAACCATTGAACACGAATTCTCATCGGTAAAGGACCATTTCGATAACTACAAGTTTGCACTGATAGAACGAGAGAGTAAAATGCTGTTCCTCGACAGCATCAAGGACGATGTGCAGGTTGACTACCTACCAATATTTAAGGAGAGTAAGAAAAGGCTCAAAGAGACGAAAGATGTGGGCATCGCGCTGGAAGAAGAGATAAAAGAGCTGAGTGTAAAGAACTATGAGCTCAGAAAAAGTATAAATGGAATTGATGTGGCGTATGACACGCTAGAAGGGCTGAAGAAGCGCTTTTTGGAGAGCGAGAACGAGTTTAACAGGGTAGAAGAGATTGCCAAGCTGGAGAGAGAGTACAATACGGCAAGTGAAGCAGCAAGGGGAATGGTAGCGGAGCTGGAGAGGCTGAAGGAGGAGGGAGAAGAACTGTCGACAGAGTGTGATAGATCGTATGCAGTGCATCTGCGGGAGCGGGTGGACGAGCTCAAGCGAAAGAGAAAAAGATGGAGCCGTGTGGAGTATGACAGGATGCTGGTCGATGCCTACAGATGGTATGATATGATGGTGAACGTGCTAGAAATGTTCTTTGGAACACTGGGCGCTGTGACAATGAAAAAAAATGGATTTGATCTGAACGTGTGTGTGGGAGGCATGGAAATGGCAGTTATGATAAGAAACGGGGCATTTGTGGGTGTTAATGGGGTGGAGAATGAATGGATTGGTGATCTTGTGCGGTGGTGTGTACGGCTGGAGAGCGCACGGTTGTTTGTTCTGATGGCCAAGAGGCAGCTCAGAAAATAAAAATGTACTAAGCGATCAGCACCGTGTAAGATATTTATTTTCCTCCATCGCTCGTGGTGCTCATCCTTTGTTGATTTTAGACGGTGCTTCTCCCGTGCTAGCGTTAAATGGCCGTTCCTCCACGACGGCAGGTGCATTTGCTGTGCCAGTGCTAAATAAAAAGTTGCAGGCAATGACTGTTTCGTACCAACGGTACCCGTCTTGAATGTTCGTATCGCAGGCGCGCTGCCTTTGCGGAAGCAGCCGGTGTTTACCCATGGCAACGAATATAAAGGTCAAAATGGCTAAGCAACCCGCATTGCCGGGACGGGTACGGCCAGCAATCGTTTTTAAGTGAGCGCAGAGGTTTTCGTGCGATGAAGAGTTGTGTTGAAGAGTTGTGGTGATGAGTTGTTCAAAAAATGCGTTGTTCAAAACAAGTGACCAGCAACGAAGAGGTATTTTATCCATTGCTCCGATGGATGCTGCGCACTCATCGCAAACTGTCAAAAACTGATCGTGCCATCATCCCGCAGTGTTTACCTTTCATTTTATGTTTCAGTTTGTTTTACCGCATCGTTAAAACACCCGTGCTCGTATCCACAACAAAATGTTTCTGTTCATTTCCTCTGTCGCAGCATTTTGCACGAAAGACTCGGACTGCCTAGTCCGTTCACGCCCTGACATCCATTCTCTGTACTGTGTGAATAACACGTGTCAGAAATTGCTGAGTGCCGGCAAAAATTGCACAAAGCCATCGGAATGCGCTTCATACTTCTACTACGGACCTCTGGCGTGTAGTGCGCGCTGTCGTGCAGAGAGCGAGTGCGAGTACGACGAGTTGAAGAGTGTCAACAGCGTGTACTGCTGCAGGGCTGTGCCCGAGGGAAAAGAGTGCAATCCTGGCCGGCCTAACCTGCTAAACGGGTGCGAGAGCAAGCATGGGTGCGTACAGGTTGATGGCGTGCACAAGTGCATGGGCAAGAACATGGGTGCGTGGTCGCTGGGCGTGTATCTGAGCGTACAGGGCAATCTGTGCATCAACATCGGCCTCAATCTACAAAAGCGCAGCTATCACAGCCCGTATCTCAGGATACGTGGCGTGAGCGTGTCCATGTTCTACATTGGTGTGGTGGTGTATGTGGCTGGCAAGGTGTCCGGGTTCATGAGCTACATATTCGGCAACCAAAGTCTCCTTGCATCGCTCGGCGCAGTCGGTCTGATCGCCAATTCCGTCTTTGCTCCGCTCATCAACAGCGAGGTGTTCACGTGGAAAGACTTCATGGCCATTGTGTTTGTACTCACGGGCTCGTCCGTCATTCTCATGAACAGCGGCCGGTCGCACAAGACGTTCACGCTGTGTGAGCTGCTCAAAATGTACCAGAAAAAGGAGACCCTCGTCTGGTTTGGCGTGATTGTGCTGCTCATTCTGTCTCTGTTCCTGCTTGTCAAGTTCATCGAGGTGAACTCGGAATGGTCGTTCACCGACGACCTTTTTGACTTTATGAAACGCGACCGGGTGTATTTTGAAGAGACAGGACGCATCCTGAAGTACAGCATGGTGGTGCTGTACGTGGGACTGAGCGGTATTATTGCAAGTTTTACGACGCTATTCGCCAAAAGCTTCGGCGAGATGGTCGATCAGACATTGCTGGGCGACAATCAATTTTTGTACGGAATCACGTACCTATTTTTCGCCAACATCGTTCTTTTCACGGGTCTGCAGATATTTTGGATGAACAAAGCGCTCAGACACTACGATGCCCTGCTCGTTATTCCGCTGTTTTTTGTTATATGGACGCTCTTCAGCGTGCTCACGGCAGGTATCTATTTCCAGGACTTTGAGTACTACACGTTAGACCAGTTCAAAGGATTTGTGTACGGATTGGTGATCATCATGGCAGGATCGTTTTTTCTTGTGAGCCGGGTTATGAACAGCGATCGGGTGGTTGGAAGGGAGAGCGGTGTGAAGAAGGTGCCAAAAAAGAAGGAAAAGACGGACACTGAGCAGAAGTAAGCGATGAGAGCGTGGAATAAGAGAATATGTGTGATTGGGAGTGAAGTGGAAAAGAATGACAAGAACTTGGTGAACAAGAGCGTGGAATAAGAGAATATGTGTGATTGGGAGTGAAGTGGAAAAGAATGACAAGAACTTAGTGAACAAGAACGTGGGTTGGAAATACCCGAGGAGTAGAATTTACGAGAATGGGCACAAGAAATGTGGTGTTTGCAATCAACGGACACAAATGAAGAAGAAGCAACCTATGGAATGGGAACAGTTCGCCAAGACTTTCGCACTTTGTCCATCTAAAGACCGTTCTACGGCTGAGCATATCAAATTTTGGAGGTGATTTATCCCACATCGATAGAAAAGCCTCGATATAGAAATGGAGAGAAGGGCAGAAGAACAAACTTTGGCACACATACAAGCAATAAAAATTGCGAACCACCAACCAATCAAATAAAATGACAGTTTTGAACCATTAATTGCGTGTTGTTCCATTCTTTGCAGCTCTTCGTGTCGTTCAACCAGATTTGATCAAAATTACACGGTTTTCTGTTCGTTGTCGGTAAACTGGGAAATCACATGTGTTCCTGTTCTGAACACACCCTTTCAAAAACGAACGAACAAAATGAAACATTTCAAGAGCAGAAGTGCCACGCATCGATTCGTTGCGAAGAGCGGCAGAAAGGACATTCCGAACAATACACGAGTAAAGCTGCTCGATAACTGTGTGCTGAACGATTTAGAGGGTGACAAGGAGAGTGAGGAAAGTGATTTCTTGTCAGATTTTGTAGAATCGTGAGGAGGGCGCGCTTCACTGGGCCTGTGCTGGTAATTAAAACAAACGATGTGCACCAATCGTTCTTTGCTCCGTGGCAGGCAGATCTTCGGCAAACCACGGATTGCACTGCCATAAATTGCCGGTCGTTCGTATTTTTAATTTCCGAGTGAACCGCCTAGCCCATGTCAATGTACGAAAATAAACCACAGAAGTACGAGATAAAACAACTGTGCGTACAAACCACCGAAAGCGTGGAGCACGAGAACGGGAGGGATGTTACAGTGCCGGATATCGTGTTGGACAGGGATGATGTCTTTCTGGTGCTTGGGGATGTGGAGGGTGTCAGCAGCGTTTTGTTGGAGGGCATGTGCGCGAATATCGCGTATGCAGGTGATGGGCGGGACCGTAAGGATGAGAGCAGACGCGCAAGGAAGAGGATAAAGAAAATCGTTCTGAACCGGAAAGTGTCCGTGTACAGCACGTCTACGGTATTTAACATCCTTTACCTCGCGAACAATCAGCACAGCACTGTTGCCGAGCAGATACAGAGAACGAGCGTATTGCTTGAGCAGCTTGGGCTGTCTGCGTGTTTCTACATGAGTTGCTCCGATCTGAACAAGCTGTACCACACGTTGGTAGCGATAGGCGTATTTGTCATGCAAGGCTACGATGCGATCTTCCTCGACAGCGTTTTTTGTGGTATGAGCGAGCGAGAATGTGAAAAGCTCGTTCTTATTGTGGCGGAGCTGGCGAAGTACTACGGTATTTTGTTTGTCATGGGTAGCGATGGGTACGGAAGAGGCGATAGCACGTGTGATGCCGGGGTGGAATGGGTCTGTGATGGGGATCACCGAACAGAGTGTGTTGCATTCGGCGGTAACGCTGCGTGCAAGACGGGCACTTCTTTCATTGGCGGGAAGTGCTTCAAAGCTTTGGTTGTAAACGACTTTTGTGCGGCGCTGGGGACCATTTCTGGGATATCCCATGTTATCAAGGACGTGACGGCAAGAAGTGAAAACTTGGAGAAGCAAAACGAGGGCCGCCAAATCAAGAGGAAGAACAGGGAAGCGAATTGGGTATCGCTGATGCGCGGGATTGCCGGCAATTTTAGGCTTTACTGCGTTGTTTTTCAGATGTTTTTGGTTTTAATTATTTTCGTTGGCGTTGTGCTGATGAAAAATAGCCTTGACCCGTTTAGGATCGAGCTGTTGGTGCCCAACGTTGCAGGGAGTGAGAGCGCCGATGTAGAGAACGCGATCACCCCCATTTTCATAGAAAAGGAGCACAACACGAACTGCCTGGTCATCTGTGCGACTCTCATCTCCTTCGCACTTCCGATTGTTCCCCTGCTTGCACCGCGCCATAACGTTCAGGTGCTTTTCGCGAACAGCCTGCCCACCAAGCGGATAATTTCTCTGAACGTGCTCTCTCGGTTGCTTCACGAGGGCATGCTGTGCCTGTGCTTCGCCCTTATGATGAGTATAGCGAGCGGCCTTCTGCTTGCGCTCAGTCCCATCTTCTCGTTTTTGTTCATCTTTGTAGCACTCATTTCTGCACGGCTGTTCTACCTGCTTTGCACGTATCTACGGTTTGATCTGGCCGTTCGTTGCGTGCTTTACGTCTGTCTCCTTTCACCAGCCGTTCTGTACCCGTTTCTTCTCACGTTCCCGCTCAGCCACGAGGTGCACAAATTTATTGCGTTTTTGCCGCAGGTTTCCGTGCTCAAGTACATGCACGCCCTGCTCTACGTGTCCATCCGTCCACAGCTAGCGCACGAGCATATGAAGGCGTTCAGCAGGTTTTTGAATATGCTGTGCTTCCCTGTGGCAGGAGATTACAGGATGGGGCTGCTCGTCCTGTTTTTGTATCTATCGGTGCTGTGGATGGTTGTGTTCTTCGTTATGAAGAGCAAATTGAGAAGAGCGTTTCGAATCAAGTAGGTAAACGATCAGAACAAAGCGATTAAATATATTATTAGCACACCGTGTACGCTCTGTGTGGCGAGCCGTGACGTAAAAATGGTATTGTCCAGTTCTGGCGAGTACTTTTTGGTATTTATGGCGCATCTCATGATGCGCTATTGTGCGGTATGCAATGCAGCCCGTTCATTTCTTTGTTTCCATCAAGCGATCGTATCGCAATGGTGGTGTACCATCAGAAAGGAAGGGCGGGCCATGCCCCCATTCATTGGGCTGATTCGTAGGCATCGATGCTTTTATAAATTTATCGATTGGTGGTAAAATCGATCGCTGCGCAACAATGATTTGGTAAAAATTATGGAACGCACTACAAACGTATTTTGAGTAAAAATACGTGGTATATACCACGTATTGTGCTGTTACAGCGTATTTATCCGTGGACATTGCTGCTGCGTATGAGGTTTAAACGCATTTTGAATTGAACATTCCACTTTTTGCCCATTTTTGTTGCCCTGAGAATTTTACCTGCCTGTGGTGGAAAGGCTTTGATTCATGGATACAGCGCTGCTACCACTGCTGAATGCTTAAATCGTTGCATTACGGAACTGACGGGTAGAGCGGGCATGCTCGTATTAAATGTACGTTAACTGAGCAGCAAAACTATGCTTGAACGTTTTTGGAACAGAAAGGTCTTCAGAGGCACGGTAGCACACTTCCGCTTCGAGTCGGTTCACGTGCTACGCTCAGAACGGTTTTATAAAAAGGGCCCTTCCGGTTGATGCGGATGAACCGTGACAAATCGAGCAGAACGATAATAATCGGTGGAAAGAATATGCGATGCTTACAGCCATGCTGAAGGGCTAGATGACAGGTTGTGCTGTACACAGCAGAAATGGTACACGGAGCATGCTTTTGAAGATTGAGTGCCGTCTCTTAAACATACGACTTGCATAGCTCAGCACAAAAGCTGAGCCTTAGATGTACAACGCCTTAAATTATTTTATTACGCACTTCGCACATTTCTTCTATGCCTGGTCTGAGAAACGAAAAATTTGTCTGAATTACGGATGGACGATCCCGTGGTAGAAAATGCTCCAGCACAGCTGTGCTGAAAAGATGAAACTACGCACTCTAACCCTTTTTCTTTCGCCTGAATTTGTTCTTGACCTTTTCGACAACGTTCTTGTCATAATCAAACGTGTGGTACTTAACCTTTGCAATATTGCTGTCTATTTCAAGATGATTTGCACTATGGCTCCTCAGCTCGATACGTTCTAACCTATCGTTCAGTTTTTGTTCGCCCTTATCCGGTTCCTTGGCCATGCCGTGATGGCCTGACGGGTCAGCACTGTCTGACTTGCGCTCCACGGCATTTCCGCCCCCAATGGTGCTGCTACCATTCTCTGTGCACCTCGAGCTGCAGTCTTCTACACCACTACACGGCTGTGTACCATCATTCTCCACAACCTCATTTAAAATGAAAAGAATGTCCTCAATGTGTGCGCGCAGTATTGGCGAGCACCTGGGCAGCACGCTCTTGAATTGTATTTTTGTCTTCGGCATCTTCTCCAGTATAAGACTGAGCTGGCGCTCAGTCAGCACGTAGTTCACGCTTTCGTTGTTATTTTTTGCTATGAAGTCCCTCAGTTTCAGAATATCGTCCAGAGCCTTCCTCTTTCCTCCTGTGATATTATTTTGTGCACTGATCCTCTCCTCGGTTTGCTTTACACTCTCAAGCACAGCCTCATCGTCTTTTTCTGGTGCTATGTCCAAGCGCAGCAGTTCGCCCTGCATCGGCCTGATACGAAAATCTACAAAGTAGCACTCGCGCACCTTAACAAGGGAACAGCAGCACGGAACAACCCTAAACTCTTCTCTCAGCGCAAGCAACGTTTTTCCATTCATGTACTTACGGTACGTGCAATCGTAGCTAAGCATTGCAACCAGCCTTTTGTGTTCGAGGGCGTCTACAACGTACGCACCACGATCTGTCTGTACGAGGAACACGCACGTAAACGGCAGATAAGTGCGGTATGTGTGCAGGTACGCGTGCATCAGGACGTGTTTGCTGTTCCTTACCGATTCCAAAAATGAATTTACGTTGCTCTCATCCACCCATGCCAGATTCTCACCAAACACACACAAACTCGCCGGCATCTCAGGCACTTCGCACCCACATTCATAGCGCATGTGCATCTCCACGTCCTCAATCAACGGCTTGATGATGTTCTGTCCTATGAGACCAACAAGCGCACCGGTAACCGTGTCATTGTCCGTGTGCTCTCCGCTACCGTGGTACAACTTGACAAGCGTAGGAGGCACGACCACGCTGTTATTGAGTGACTTGTAAATCTTGTCGATGCGTGCCATTATCAGATCTTCATCGAATGTGTTCAACCGACAGACCTGCTGGTAGAGGGGGCCGTACAGATGTGTGGGAATGGATGGGGCGCTGTTGAGCAGCTCAAGGTTTTTGTTGAGTTTGTGGAGCAGGGCGGAGCACAGATCGATGATCATGGAAGGGCAAAAAATTTAACGATTTATTGGTGCGGTCCGCACGGAGATGGAGAAGAACGCATGGAACGAACAAATGATGTGAACAGCAGTTCACGACTGAGGATGTGGAGAAGAACGCATGGAACGAACAAATGATGTGAACAGCAGTCCATGATAACATACGGTTTACCCAACATGTATGAACTGCTGAGAATGTTTTATTTAATGTCAACATGTGGGCAGCGATCCAACAAAGATAATGAACCATGGTTGGGACGATGAGCTCGCGTTATAAAATACAGGTTATTTGCTTAGCACCGTGCGGTGGACCCGCATTTGTGTGCAGGGTTGGACCCTGAATGACAAATCGGCTGCTATACCTCAAAGAACCTGCTCAATATCGGCATCAATTGGCGGCTTAGGCTTGCTGATGATGTCCTTCTCTTCAATACCTCTCTGCTCCATATTAATGGGCAGCTCAGCCTTGGGATGTCCGAGTTTGCACTCCGGTCCCTCAATGCAGAACCCGTAGAAATACGAGTAGCACAGTTTTTTCTTCACATGTTTGTTCCTGCACATCAACCCGTGCCTACAAAACCCCCTTTTATACCACAAGCACTCCTTGCTTTCACTGTTCGGATCAATGTGCAAAAAATGGCACTCAATGTTTGAACATTCACCGTACTTAGAGAAGAACCAGCATTCGGGCATCTTTTTTAGGTTGTATTCGTGCAGAAATTCGCATTTCTCGTTCTTCTTGCACAGGCCACGCAGCCAGTGCTTGCACACCACGGCCTTATCCAACTTGACGTGCAATTTTTGGCAGCGGGGATTGAAGCATTGGGACTTTTGAAAAGGCTTGCAGTAGATTTCATCCTTTTCCTTCAACTTGAGGTTCGTTGTGATGAAATTTTCAAAGTCAAAAACGGGTTCCTTCTTTTGCATCAGGGGGAAGAGCAAATCGTGTTTTTACGAATTATTCGCTAACGGGCAAATCGTGGCACTGAAGGAGCATTTTCTACCCGTGACAAGTTCAAAAACAGAAAAGTGTGTTTATCTAAAGGTTACTGTACGAAGAGACAGATAAACATGTGCTTGGTAACGAACATGACAAGAAGTGGTTCTGTGAGAACCAAAACCAGAATACTTGTTTGTTCGATGTATTTGGTCTGAACCAGCTCATAATTGTGATTAAAGCGAATATACGCCAAGATTTAAATAAAGATGGTGTTAGGCCTGTCTTTTACGCTGCTTTACTGATGAAGATTGGTTAGAAGACGGCGATTTATGAAATTAAGCACTGAGATAGAATTAGCGTGAAATAAATGGAGAAAAGCTGGTGAACGCATGGTGCAGCAACCGGAACAGCTGTGGTAACTAACAGACAGGCTCAAAAGATGTACGTGACAGAGGATCAAGGATTGCACCATGGACATGAAATAACAGCGAGCTGGTATTCAGACCAATTCACTTTGGTACATTCCTTGAGTTGATACCGTAATTTGAACTTAACAATGATATTTTAAAAAACTGCGACATAACAGAATTTACTTTGGTTGCCTGTTCCGATCTGCGCTTTGAACAGATCCTTTCACGCTTTGGATAAACTCAATCAAGTATCAATTCCGTGGCCAGGTCGTCCGTCATAGCGGTTCAGAACGGCATAAGTTGAAGGATCTACTTCACAATAATCATCAACAGATGATAGAATGAGGCATTTGAGGTTATCTTGATCAATAAAAACGAATATTTGCTGTAGGAAAATGGCTATGTTGGCGTCTAAAACACCGATATCGTGATTGAAGATGCTTTTCTCGGTTACATGGACGTACAGCTCACGTAGCTCTGTTCTTTTACTGCTAGCCACGGGAACACTAGCACTTTGGCAGACGTACGATATTGCCAGTACCTCCACAGTCTTGGGCAACAACCCGAAATTCGATGTATTGGTGAAGAACTCGCCACCGATTGTAAGAATTTTCAAGTGCGGATAGTGCTTCAGAGCAAGCAGGCACAGTTGGTAGTTGTCCTCACTGGTCTGTGAATCGTAAATGTTCAGCGATTGTATACTGGGAGGCAAACACATAAGCGATTCGCTTGTCAGGTACTCTATAGAGGCCTTGAAAACCTTTAAGCTGCCCATTTCTCGTAAATATTTGCAGTTATTGTCACTCATCATGATATGTTCGTATTCTAGCACTTCGACTCCCGACATCACATTTTCGTAAAAAATGCCTTCTAAGACGTGATCAGCTGTCATCCTAAGGTTTACAGCATCGAATTGATATTGACAAGCAGCGGTGCTCAATGACTCGTTCCTATAATTCGTTGAACGAGATCTGAAAATAGAAGCTGCTGTCAGGTACCTTCTCAGGATGTTTAGTTCCAGGCTCATACGCTGAGCGGGTGTAGTAAGCCGTCCAATTTTCAGATATCGTATCCGTTTAAACTGTTTAAAGAGGCACGGTAGCTCAGTCTTATCGGACGGAACTTCGAACACGGATAAGCGAGTCGTATTGATAGGACCATTCATGTTCAGCCTATGAAATGGTTCATTTGTAAATGTTATCTCGATACTTTTCAAAATATCGGTTTCAGAAAGATCTAAATCTCCTGAACAGCACTTCACCAGCAACTTCTTGCACTTTTTGTTCACCGTAAAGCAAAAACCTTTGCTGATGTTGGTATCGTTCAAAATAACGGTATCGTATGCATCGGCCAACTTGATGTTGCTCGTGATGTTTCGGCAAACTAGCGATAATGTTTTAGATCCATGCTCATTCACAGAGATTTCCATAATTGAACGAAACTGAAGATTCAACACACCTTTAAATTCACCCATCAAGCTAAAACATCCAGATGATCTTCTTATATCGATGCGTCTATGATGGCTTGTAATTTTTAACGTGACCGTCTCGCTGAAGTTAACGTTGCAGAAGAGCAGTTCTTCTATTTGTTCGCCGATAGCAACGTTCCCATCAATACGTGCGTGCTCGAGTGAGAAAAGACTGGAATGATGCGCGTTCCCTTTCTGGAAGGCTAATACAGAATTTGTTTTGTTCAGGCTAACTATGCCAAGACCTGCCGTGCCAGACAAATCTAGCCGTCCTTTAGTGTTGTCCATCACCAATTGTTCGTATCCTTTCTCAAAGGTAACAGTGCACCCGCTCCCAATGGTGCAGTTGTGGAATGTAATATTTTTAAAACGTTTTTTGAACACGAAATCGTAGTCTAAGGTCATGTGCTTGCACAGAACACTTGTAATATTCCCTGGAATGCTGCAAAGATGCGCATCCAAATATTCTGAAAAACATATTTTCGCGTTATAAATTGACTGTGGTTCTGAATTGATAAAGTCTACCGCAAAGAAAGCGTAATCGATATTTTCGAGGGGATGAAGACTGTCAAGAGCTTCAGCATCATCTGATGGTACCAAAATAAACACTTTGAAAGTAACGCATTCAACGTGCTGCTGTGTCCATAAGTTATGGGGAGTGAGCAAAGACGGCTCAAACTTCCAATTTTTTGCACCTAAAATGAAATCAAAAATGTTTGCAAACGGTAAGAATTTGTGTATGATCACAGTTAACTTGGAATTATAGCCATTGTACATGAACTTGCCGTACAGAGCATCGAAATCATCTCCAGACTTGATAGCACCGATCTCGAGACACTCGAACAGAAAACCGAGCTTGAACTCGTTTAATGGAATCTTCTTTTTGGTTACAGATCGACTTTTTTTCTTACCATAGACTTGTATCCTCTGCATAGTACCCTCTGTCAGGAACAGCACGATTGTGGCGTTAACAGCTTCACGAAACTTTATAAGAGCACCGCCATAATCGTGACAGCGTTTAAGTGCGCAAGCTTGTTTTGAATGTCTCAAAGACAGGTACTCTCTACCGTAGTCCGACAGCAGATAAAATATTTGTGGATCATCTTGCAAGTTCATGCACACACTATACGTAAGTAGAGTGTTATCATCCACGTGCACAAATATGTATTTGAATATGTGATGGATTTCATCCTGCGAGAAGAATGTGCTTATATTTCTCTTTAAGCTCATCATTTTCGTGAACAGAGTCTTCGAAAATTCAACAGTAACGACTTTGAACGTTTTATTTCCATCAGTTTCTGCCTGTATAACTTCATAATAGCTTGACCACCGCTTTTTTTTCGCCTTGGGTGTAGCTGGCATCGCTATGTGTGTGCTTGTATCCTTGGTCGCTTCTACGACCCGTTCAGCCTGCTGTCCAGAGCTATGGGTATGCACAGTGTAGTATGAACATTTTGTTGTACCATTCACCAGAGAGGTTATAAATCTCGACATATTCGTGGTTCCCAAATCATATAGTATCATATATTCATCAGAACTATTGTTAGCAGTTGACCTAAATAGAAAGATATATACAAGAATTTTGGTTACGTAATCGTGCAAATTCATCGACATCAATTCTTCTAGTAGCCCTCTTAGAGAATGAGTAATTTTGGGAATGTACTTTTCGGTAATATTAATTATATTTGCGGTGCAGAATTATCATTCTTGGAAAGGACACCAGGCACTTTACCATCGTATATTTTGTTCCTTGCCAGTCCAAGATATCAAGAACAAAATGTAATAGCAAACGTAATTATTTTGATTTACATTTTTGGCTTATTAATTCGAGCCAGGGCTGTTCGTTCCTTGGCTAGGATTGCTGCGATTCGGTCATTGTGAGAGCAATATCTGATTCAAATTATAGCAATTTAGCCAAAATTGTCAGCTTATGTTTCCATGCTGTGTCTTCTGTCTATTCTACCATTCGGTAAAACATTGAAGTTCCATCAAACACTACCAGTAATATCCTTGAAAGCACACAAAACGTTGAAAATAAGCATCAACATTACTATCGGGTGCATTCTGTGATCAGCCTAACCATCTAATAAGGGCAATTGACAATTTGGAATAACCTCTCCTGCAGAACTTAAGCATAGGTACAAATACATTTTCTAGCCGTTGTCGTGATCAATTATTCGTAAAATAGCAAGTGTTGGCTTTCATTTTCATTCTTCTTTCGACCGATATAGGCACAAATACCCTTTCGAAACTCATCAGTCTTGGGCCCTGTATCACATCCGTGAAGCCTCCGGTTGCAGCTTGTTCTATTTTATCCTCAGGTGCCAAGACGAGTTGGCAATTCTATATCTTTTAAGAGTTAGATCATATTCTCTCATACGAGTAGGGGTGTGCACACCTTTCATGTACATCACTACTCCTCATCCTTACCAAAAAGTTAACATTACACACAGTTTCTTTATTTTGACAATTTGAGGATCTCTTGAACAGCGTCACATGTTCCTTTAGAAGAATTAGAACTCCGATGCTCGAAATAGAGAGGTCAGTCTCTCCGCTTGGTTGCCGAGCTCATTTTTTTATTCTTGCCAAAAACAGCCAAAAGGGAGTAAAATATTGTTTTACACGCAATATTAAAGTATCTAGAAATGTAGAACGATGGGATTGTATCTCCTACGGGAAGCTGCGAGATAATATGCCCTATAAAATTGAGAAACGATGTTTTTGCTGAATTAGTCTTGAAACTGTGGTGATATCTCTCGATAAAGGTTAGAATGTCGTTATGCGTTCATACATTGTAGCGACTTCGCCGGGGCTAGCCAACACTTTCATTGGTCAGTAACACTTTTCAGAAGATCATTCTCAATGAATGATTTGTTTGCTCTCAAGTCTGTGTTCTTCTTCAAACTGTTCGGTCTTCCGATTGTATCGTGCACCGGATGCGATTTTGTATTATGCGAGTTATACCACATTTTCTTTGCTATGGCAGCACATACACTCGTTGTTTAATTCCTTAGTTATTTACAATCCTTTATAAGTGAAGAACCATGAGAATAGTAGAATTATCCGGAAAATTAAATTTATTTTAGCATTACCTTACCATTTTGAGAAATAACCTGCGGTATTGTCCTTCTTATTACATTGCTGCTTGATATTACATTGAATGGCGCCACAGCTCTAACTTAGCTGTTATCAGCATGTATATGTTTATTTCGGTTCGTGGTGCAAATAAATGCTATATCAGTGTTGCTGCCAACTCACACTTGCTCGTTAAGATTTACACAGCTATCCCTCTATTGCAGCCATGTTTTGCTAAACAGAAACTAAATAATTACTCTACCACACATATAAACAGCATTCTAAAAAATATAACAGATCATGGCTCAATGTCGTTTTCTTTAAAATATTTTTCTGCGCATCGCAAGCCAAATTAACAGCATTTTAGTTAATTTATGAACGAAATGCATCCCAAATTTGGTGCAACAAAGCAGGCATTGCTCGAACTTGTGTCTGCAAATATGAATATACAGGTATATAACACATATGAACGTATCTATTTGTCCATCGTTAAAAGTACGTTATATCTAGCAAAGAATGCTATCATACCTTTTTAATTTATTTTCATGGCGTAACATCGGTAAAATATGCCACAGTTCCATCAATCTGTTGTCTTACACAGACTTTGCATCCAAAGTTTCTTTTGAGTAAATAATTTTACCCCTATGTCGGATGACAACATTTACCAGGTCGAAAAGATTGTGGACAGCCGTATATACAAGGGTAAAAAGCAATATTTAATAAAATGGGAAGGATTCCCATCAAATGAAAATACTTGGGAGTATGCTAAGGATATATTTAGCAAGGAGCTTATTGATCAGTTCGAAGAAGAGAAGAAGCAAAAGAAAAAGAGTGCTGCTAAACCTAGGGCGGTGCCTGAGGTTACAAATGAATGGGCGCAGGAGGTAAGTAATATTGAAAATGTGTATATGGACGAGAAAAAAAATAGGTTGATGGTTGATATCCTCTTCAATTCAGGTAAGAGGATGTCGGTTGATGCGAAGACCGTGCATCAGAGGTGTCCTGTTGCCCTCTTAGAGTACTATGAAAAAAATATTTCGTTTACGGATGAAGTAGAATAAGATAATTAAATTACGATTTATTTCCAGTTTATGTCCGTGGTTGGGTGCACAATCATGAACAGCTCTTGGCGAGTGTGTTGAATGCTGTTGCGTAGTGCTAATCAACAACACCAATTACTTACATCAGCGCGACAAGAACATTATCCTAAGCTTGAACGCTAATTTAATCAAGAGCCTGTTCCTCGGTCATTGTATGAGTTAAAACAAGAGCTTCTTGTAGAAGCGCTTTTTATTATAATAACCATGAAATGGGCCGTTCTAACGCAGTTGTTAGAAAATATGCTCTACCCTTGTTTTTAACCCGCGTGTAACCATGAAGTTGCGATAAACATGCTGCTGGCTTATTGTTAAGTATGTTTTGATAGTTGTCAGCCTGTGGTGGTAGGAAATGCAGAAGAGAATTTGCAGGGCATGCTCCCAACTTGGCGAAGAAACAGGGAAACTTTAAAATTAGACCCGCATGATTGAATGACCTAGCCGCAACTCAGCGGTGGCCCAAAATACAATTTTTATGTGAGAGTGTGGATACGTATGGCAAATAAGGGTGAGCACAGGCTATAACCTGAGTAAATGGAAACAAATAACAAGCCGGTACGCTCCATTCATGGCTTGGGCCGTGTGTATGGATAGTTCTCCGGTGAAAAACGCAACAAGGTCACATAATTGACTATATCGGGCGAAGGCATGGTTATGCATGGGCGAGGGCGTATAAATACGCAGGAAAAGGATATAAACGAGATAGAGCATAGAATTGGCAGTAATTATTTAACGGAAAGAAATAACGACTTACCAGCAGCAGATATGTTTGTTGCTAAGAGTTAGTGCTCGTTGCACTACCTTTCTTGCACAGCACAGCACACTACCATGTTTTCACCAAAGTACGTTTACTTGCCTCTTCATGCTGCAGCACACATCCTGCCAAAGCATGCCAAACATTAATTAATGGCAGCAAAACATCCAATGATACGTTAAAGACTGAACAAACATTACTTAGCAGGTAATTGAACGTAATTAACTTTTATATAAATGAAATTAGCACAGCTAATAATTTTGTATGATATTCCTATGTCCACGATAAAATGCCGTATTAACCGATTTATGTAATCTTATACGTAACGATCCCTGTATTACCGCCTCTGCTCATTCCCCTGCAAACAAACGATTCACCTTCATTTATTACCAGCATTCCATCTCTCTTCAACGTAAATTCCTTTTCTCCCCGTTTTATTGTAAATTTACCCTTTGTAACGTAAAATGAAAAGCTTTTGGTTGCCGAGTCATCCTCTATGTACGCGTTCTCCTGTAAGTTCAGAATGGCAGTTTCTAAATTACTTTCTATCACGAGAGGAACAAAGCCGTTCTTGGATTGTCTCGATGATATATTGCTCAGTACGTTGCTGTCCATGCTTTCATTTGACGAACTTCTTCTTTTGCGTTTACTCTCTCCTTCCATTTTTTTTGCATTTGTTCTGTTCTGCAATACCTTCCTTTTCACACTCTTCCTCATCGGCATGGCAGAAACACCATCTTTTATTTCTTCTCCTTGCATACGTGTTTTAGATTTTTCCTCAGGTGTCTTACGCGACTGCTCCTCCCCATCTACTACGATGCTTGTATCGATGCCAACTTGTTTAGTGCTCTCGTTCTGCTGCGTACTGGTACGGTCCTCCTCATAAGTAATGTCACATTCCTCACCATGCTCAATCCCATCCATGCTGTAATCATCCACACTGCCCTCTTCGTAAAGGTCTTCATCCTCGTACTGCGCACCGCTGTGCGCACCTTCCTCCTCTTTGACAGTCTCGTCGGCATTCACAGCATCATCCCCAGCACTACACATCATTTCAACTTTTTTCATCGTGTTGAAGTCAAAGAACGATTTCCTTTTTTTTCTTCCTTCCAACTCTCGCAAATTCGCACCCACATTTTGCACTAATTCAACATCAGCAACCAAAAAATCATCTTTTTCATGTTTCGCACGGTTGTTCACTTTCGCTGCCACCAAATCGTTTTCTGCAACATCAGCATTCTCTCCGTAATTGCCATCATCACTGATCATGCCATTGCTCTCTCCACCAACACTGAAACTGTCATCATCTAAGCTGCTAAAATTGATGAACTGCTGGACACCCTCAATCTCAACATCATTACCGTTTACACCACCTCCGTTCTTTTCTGCTACACTAGCATCATTCATCTCAGCCGTAAGTTCATTTTCTGCATCAGCGTTATCAATACCGACACGTTTACACGTGCTACCTCCATACTCCTCCATTACACCCTCTTCATCTTTCTTGCCCATCTCCCCCACTACACCCTCTTCATCCCTCCTGCCCATCTCTCCCACTACACCCTCTTCATCCCTCCTGCCCATCTCCTCCAAATTAACACTTTTCTCCAAAAAACTGAACTCCTCCAACTCATACACATCATTGTCCAACACTTTGGTCGCATTAGTCCAATACTTATCAATATCATCATCTAAATTTACATTCGCAAGCATTTTGCTTTTTCTTCTCTGTGCAGGCTTGTAGGTCAGTTTCATTCCTTTTGTCAGCGGGGGATGAAAAATACAACAGAAAAGGACAGCAGCTTGAAAGCAAGGATTGAGCAGGGGTAGCGTGAGGTACGTTTGCTATGATATTAGTGCTACGTGAGATAAATAAGTGATCTGTAGCAGGAGCGGTGGTGTGCAACTGGACAGCATTCAAATTTGGTATTTATCTGGGAAAGGGTGATATGGCAACATATTTGGTGGTAATCAAAGAGGTGTAGATGAGCGAATGCTAAATTTACGCTGAAAAGGGTGTTTGCACGCGTTGGGAGCACATGAAATGAACAGTGATGTAAAAAATATTGGCGATAGAACAATATGAAGCATTGAACAATCCAAAGCACCGATATAGTGAGAATGCAATGCTGTAAACACTAAGCAGTGCTGTTCTAAACCATCCTATCATCTACAGAAATTGTAAATTAATTATTAATGATGCGGCTGATATACCACTGCGGTATATGCCGTGGTTGAGTTGATTATCAACGAATAGATCGCTCAATAAAACACGTAAAATAAACATATTAGTGTTGAAGAGAGCATTCGTGCATCGATGTAATTTATTGGCTGCACAACGCATCTCAGCATTGTTTTGTTCAACGGAGGAACATTTCGTCTTCACACCAAATAATCCCAAATTTTGGTTGAAAACCAAGTTTACATAAAATGGTGTGCTTCTACCTTTTTAGTATTCCTGTTAAAATTGGTACCACCTCATGCCAGTACTAAACGAAGAGTCCTTCTTGAACAATCATTTTCATTTCTTATTCCGTTTCATAAAACGCATTGATTAGTGCTTTTATCGTTAAAACCTGTCTTTTCGCAGATTATTCTGGTGCTCTTCTACATCATATCTGCCCATACCACCATTACCGACTTACAAATTAGTTCACGCTACCAATTCATACCCTGTTCAACATCCTTGTCTGTCCAAATCGTAAGATCATCAACCGTTCGTAAAGTGTGCAAAACCTATTCTTCACGCTCAGCACACCAAATGATAGATCCTTGTTCTATGAAATCATCCTACGCCATACTAACACCCCCTTCCACCTAAAGCTCATCACCATGGCCATTGCTGGTATGTTTCATGTAGGCACTCCATTCCTGCATTCCTTTCCGTGCTCTGTCTCCGTAAACACGTACAAAATTGTCCTCAACTATTCTTTCCATCTCATCACATCCTATCCCATAAATATCACTCACCAATTCATAAATAATTTTTACATCACCTGCCCTGTACTTCTTAACCTTAGGTACCTTCTCGTTCCAATAGTAGTAGCTCTTTCGCACACAGCAAAACGGAGCATCGGTCTCCAATAGCAATCTGTTTAGCGGCAAAACATCAAAAATATCTGTTTTGGTCTTCAAAGAACAACCGTTTATACCAATGTACAGGTTATGGTCTAAAAGTTGTACTATTTCATCCTTTGTGCCCGTAAAGGAGTGCACAACACCGTTTATCGCACTTTTACGTTCCTTTACGATTTCAAGAAAATCGTTATGAGCATTTCTTGAATGAAAGAAATAGTTGGTGTGTGTTGCTGCCAACATTTTCCTAAAAACTGCCTGCTGTTCATGTTTAGACGCATACATCAGCCGATCATAATCCAATCCACACTCCCCCAGTGCCAGAATTGAACTGTCATCAATAATCAGTTCAGATACATCACCGTAACGCCCGCTTTCAGTTGGGTGTATACCCGAATAGCACATAGTATGGTATTTTTTTGCAAGCCGTAAACATTCTCTTGAGGTATCCACGTTTGTACCTACGAAAATAGGCATGGTATTGTTGTGCATGCAGTGCTGTATTATGCTATCGTACTCGTTCTCCTTGTAATGTGTGATGTTGAAGGCGATATCGATGAGCATCAATGGGCAGACCTAAAAAATAATTTTTTAGTCATAATCAGTAGAAAATGCACCGATTCAGCAGAGCAATCAAAAGCACGGTATTGCAACGAACATGTCTACATCGTGACTTAGCAAGACGTAGGGGAAGGCATAGGATAGGAAGTGGTAATGAAGGATAAAATGCGAAGTTTAACCTAACATGAACCAAAATATGAGGTAAAACATAGTGTGGAGAGCGAAGATGTAAAGTAAAATGTAAAATACTTTGCAGCTAAAACGACATAAAGCAGACCAACCAAAATTGATAATGCACTTCCGCCTGACAATTCGTACAAAGGAAGCACGAACTTATCACCCATTCAACCACAATACGCCATTCTGACCTGCATATCCGCTTAATACACCCTGATCGGTGCACTGTAAATCAGTCCTTTAGTGTAAACGATCCCTGGCTCAAGCTGAACTGTCCGGTAGGTACTGGGCGGAACGTGTAGTACTGGTATCCAAACATATCTTCGAAATAAAGCGTTACGGACATGAGCTGCATCTCCCTTTCACTGCTACACGTATGATCCGTTCTCAAACCTTTGCCATTATGTCATCAACATAATCACACATTTTCTTGGTCTTTACCACGTTCTTGATGAACGAATAGTCAGTAATTACTTTTTGGTACCTCCCTCCGCACATGCACTCCATTGCTAATCTTTTCTCACAATAATTTTTACAACTACCGCACACATATTCATTGGTTCGCACCCTTTCATAGATGTAACTGATTAACGCATTTTCTACGCTTTCAATACCAAACTTGTTAAAGCATCTTCTACATTTGTTTATTTTATCATTTACTACCAAAATATTTTCATTTTTACACGATATGCATATTACACTCGTACGTATTGTTTGATTTTGCTCTATTTTAAACTCATTGAGACCTAACAACTTGTAAATATTGCTTCTTATTTCATTTATTCTCTGATATTTGAGCGCATATACTTCTAAGACCTTGAGTACATCAACGTTCTTCTTTGTCAGGCCGTAAAAGTAGGAGTTGCCAATCACATCGCCCCTGAATGCCATTTCTAGGAAACTGAGGGGTATTTTGTGTTGCGTATTACACCCGATCCTTTCTCTGGGCGCACCATCACCCTGTTTTAAATAAAAGTAGTTATCGTGATCAAGGTAAATCAGCCTTTCAAATCTCCTCAGCATCCTCCAATTCTCTTTTATCACGCCTTTCAGTTCGTTCTCGTTCTTGACATGAACAAATATCATATTTTTACTGCTTGCAAGTACCGAGTTATGTTTATTAAGCATGTTAATACATTCTCTTATGTAATCGTTGCCTAGCTGCCGTACTAAGTTCTTCAATTTTTTGGAAATCAGGTCTGTCCTTACAAGCCAGTGGGGCAGCTCGCTGAAAAGCTCTTTGCTATTCGAAACATACTTCAGAAATTTCTTAAGAACAGTCATTTCTATAAAATTAGGCTCTTCTGTTTTTATTTCCTCGCTATTTTCCTTTTCGGTTACATCATCCAGTTCATTGGCCTTTCCGTCCGTGCTCATAATCTCTTCAACCGCTGCATTGGAATAGTTCTCTTTCCGTTCTAAGTCATAGCTTGTGCAAATATCATCGTATTTTTTGCCCGTTTTTTCTCCACAAACACCCGCATTATTTTCCAACATCGTATCACACCAGCTACTACAAAGGACCGATTGTTTTAGTTCACTGCTCAGCTCAAATGAACTATTATTGTGAGCAATTTCTTCTTTGCCAGTGATAATACTGCCCGTTACATTAGCCGCCACGTTTCCACGGTCATCAGGATGCTCGCTCTTCATCATTTCATATTCATAAGCATTCTTACCTTCGTAGTAGGTGCCCGGTTTATCTACACTATCGTTTCCTACGGTACTCTTGGCAACAAAGCCCTGCAAACGTGCACTAACACCCCTTCCATAACGTTTCACCCCAATCATCATCGCACCTACGATTTCTATTTCCACCACATTCTCGTACCATCCGCTTGTTAGCGTCTCCTCAGTGCCATACCACTCGAAATCAATGCCCTCATTCTTTACCATTCTATTTGCACGCATCATTCCCTTGTAGATATTGTTCAGAGCACTGTCTACACTGTAATTTAACAATGGTATCTTAGCAAACGCACAAATACGTAACCGTGCTTGGACCTGCTCGTTGAGCATCACCAAGGTGTTGTGAGCATTTGATAGGATGTTGCTCGGCACGTCATGTACAGCATCCTCAAGGAATGAAAATGCCGTTTTGTGTGCATCGTACGCCATCACATGCTTGGTGGGCAGCAACACAACCAGTGTATTTTTCCGGTCCACAAAATTTTTGCTCTTCCGATCATTCATGCACATTACGAACAGTGTTTCTTTTATCCTTTTGTCATTCATGCATATATAAAAGGAATTGTTACGCATAAATGCATAAAATGTGCGTTTGTTGTGTATAAACGAGACAAGAGGAGTGTAATTGCATGGACTAACAACATAGTTCAGTGCGCACGGCTTCTCGTAGTACTGCGTGATCGAAAGGTGATTGGCGTATTTTTTAGGTATTTTGTTGAAGTTTCTTGGCACATTCTCGTTCGACAAAAAGAATGTAAAACAGGTTTTGTCTGCAAAATCGCTCTTCTGCACGATAAGAACATGATCGTCATCTCGGTGCTCACCGATTGCCAGTTTATCACCGCATTGGAAATATACAATGCTTTTCCTATGCTCTTTCTTGTAGTAAATGCATACTTTGCGGTTTGTTTTCGTCTTTAGTTTGTTAAGCCATTCGTCTTTTAGGCCCTGTACGATTGAAAAGCTCATGGGTTAAGTATGAGCAAAAAACATATGCACACGCGAGATGAAAGGAGCTTGAGGTGTTAAGAAGTAAAATAAAACAGGATATAGGGAAAAATGCAGTGTTGGACAGTAGAAAGACTGTATGAAAGTAAAATACAAGGTCTGACAAAAAAGCATGAACGAGATGTTGAGCCGTGGAAATGATTTCCAGAAATACAACACTAATCCATTGTCACACGAATAAAATGCGTGTTAATGTGTTCGTAGAACGCCATTTAACTCGACCAATAGTAAGCGTTCTTGTACAAGCTCAGAACAGAGCGTTTTATTTCCTTATTCACATTTTTATGTAACATTCACTAAAGTTGATGTATGTGTTAGTGTATAAAAATTTATTAAGATGTACTACAAAGTAGATATTGCTTATAAGTGATGACTAAGTGCTTCTCGGAAAGAATGAGCTGCAAAACAACTTTAGACTCTTCATGCAGTGCGAATACGTGAAACAAACATTTTTTATTTTTCTCGAAGGGTCAAATAATTAATTTCTCAGAACTGATCAATCAGCTTCTGTGTTGTCTTTTTACTCATGCGATGATAATATCACCTGATGCTTGTTCACAATAATAATGAACCGTAATATTAGATATAAAAACTACTACAAAAACACATGTAATATTTAGACAACACAAATCCATAAATACTATTTAATCTTATGATTCACATATCTGGGTGTTACTTACCGCCGTATCAACTCTTCCAGATGTCCTCTAACACACTTATAAAGATCACAAACTTGCTGTGCCATATGTTCAAAGTTGTTATAATCCAACTCCTCAATTTTCTTAAGTATTTCATCTCGCCTCTCAGAATAGCTTGTGGAGAGATACTGTCCAATATATCCATACAACCATTTTACGTTTTGTCCTAATCTCTCTTTCATATGACGTGAATGGATACAAAGAATCTGCTCAAGAATGTATTTTCCATTTAAGTGCTCCATGCTTAGATTCTTATCCCAAGTAGCGAGACAATCATATTTTGTAAATCCAATCTTGTCAAATAAACCGGACAGCAAAAAGAATAGAGGCTCATATCCTTCCAAAAAAGTATCGCAAACAGTATCAGGATTACTCGCACCACAAACTGTTGAGCAAGTATACTCCAACTCGGAAAAAAATACGTACTTAGAAATAACGCTTGACTCAACTCTGAAGACATAAAGAAGTTGTGAAAACAGAAATGTACGAACAAAGGAACGATAAACGATCTGTCTCAGCATATTCTGTTTGTTATCGAACGGATTATCTCCTTTATCCGTCAGTTTTATGCATGATGTTGCAATGTTTTCGATTCTGCTGACAAGATATATCGTGATCGCTTTATCACGCAGCAATATTTTTGTTACATTGTTGTGGAACTGCACAAAATACCCACAAAGGCTTGTAAACTCAGAAAAAAGCAAACACTTGTCAACAACTTTGTTTCCGTACAGCATTTCTAATGAGTTTACAAATAAATTATCGATCACATTTTGCACAATAAAACAGCTATTACGATGAGAATGCCTACAACCTACACATTTCACACTTTCACTACTAAAATACTCTGCCTCACTTATCTTAGAATTAGTTGTTAGCAGAGAATAAAGTTCATCGTTGTATCTGGCGTAAAGCTTCAGCAGCTGAGAAAGTTTTTTCACACCCTCACAAGGAACATCAACTTGTGCAATATCCAGCTCCAAAAATAACAATTTAAATCTTTTCATTTGTTCTTCTTCGCTTTTTCTAAATGTAACATATTCTGAAATATGTGACAAACCATCACAATTATCTGTTCCCGTATTAACTATCTTTCCCTTATTTTTGTGTGTATCATCTGTAAACTTAACCAACATTTCTTTTAAATTATCAAAATACCTGGACAACTCCAAATCTCCTTAATTATCCTTTGTAGTTTGATTATATTCTTGTGCAAAATCTTCTCTCTTATTTATAACTTTAAAAATGACATTTTGTAACTTTTCAAGCTTGCTCGAGCGACCTTCATTCGATTGCCCGCTCACTCTCTTGCGTTTTCTTGAGCTGCTCGTTCCCGCACTTTCACAATCATGTTGTGCATGTTCTTGTGATTCATCACTACAAGTGGTCAACTGTGTAGGATGGCCGACTACTTCCATACCAGGATATATGAAAGTGTTGCTTTGAGAACTTTCTCCGATACGACCACTATCCTGGTCAGGATACGAGTTGTCCATCACATACACCGATCTGATCAGCATTATAATAATTTGCATATTTGGTAAGGGGTATTGACAAATTTTTTGTATTTATACGCTTTCCTAAAATGCACAAACGGAAAAATCATACCCTTATTCATATGATGTGTAAATATTGAGCCAGTGAGCATGGAATAGCAAGAGTCATATAATTGCTAAAATGAACAAAAATAATAAATAGCCTGGATAATACTTGGTTTATATACTAACATTTTTTGTTAATAATACGTTTATTTACTTTCTAATTACTACATATAGTACATAGTGCAGAACGGGTAGATATGTTCATTTCTTTTACCCATGAAACAGATCTATTAAACTGTGTTTAATGACAAAGAACATGTCGTAAAGATGTGTAGCTACTTACATCAGCGAGTAGGTCCAGAAATGTTTCTTATGTCCAGTTCTATGCAAAGACTAACTTAGCTGCGCTATCCCGTTTTTCAAAAACGGGTGTCTGAATGGATTATATACAAAATAGCGCTTTTGAATATAACTAAAACATTAGGTCATTCCTTTCTACCAACTGTTGTATAGTTACAAAATCAATAAATTTACTTTCATTATAATGGCTCATTGTATACAACATTTCTTGTGTATACTTTACCATTCTCACACTTTCCTTGGTCTCCATTGTCAGCAACATACACCCTTAGACCGTTTGCATAGCCACTCTCGACAGAGCTGTGCAGATAAACACCTACCTTGTCAAATGACTGACCTTGTGACTTGTGGATTGTCATCGCAAACGAAAGAAGAACCGAAAACTGTCTTCTCTTGAATGAATGCTCGCCGTTTTTGTCGTTGAATATCATCGTAATCTCGCCCGTTGTAGGAACATTGTACCTGTTCATGTCACGATGAATGTTCTTGTTTGACTCTACATTTACCATCAACATGTTTCCTTCACGCACTACACTTCTCTCAACCTCAGCAAGATTCTGCATACGGGTTGACTTCTCTTATTGTCATGTCAAGATTGCGTAGTATTGCTCTGTCACACTTCTCATTTGCAGGGTTTCTCGATCTCAGATCTGTGGCATCGTTCGTATCAATCACATACAACTGCGAGTACCTCCTTTTAGTGTTCTCAAGCGGGTTTATATTGTATGTAACGGAATAAATATATGCAAATTGGTGTTAACTAAAGTCTATAATAGCAAAAATAACATTTGCATGCTTCAAGCGGTTGTAAATGGGGTAATAGGTAATTATAAAGCAGGCTTCAAAAGAAGCGTTCGTTGCGATTAAAAAATGACTTATTCATTGGTAAATGAAAAGATCACAGTTTAACAGTTTTGCCTGATGAGTTAAGGATATAAAAGTATTACAGCAAAAGGTAAGAAAATAAACTTTGTATGATAACCATATTTATATACATGAGAAAGGTTGCAATACCTGAGCTATAAGAGTATTTTAATGAAATATTTACATCATATCACTGCGCAATATTCACACTAACTTATCACGTTTTTGACATATTATTAAACATTGGTCATGTATTCATTATGCTAGAAACGGTTTCATAAATGCTTCTTTATTGTTTAGATTAATTCTGCCAGCATACTTCCGTATTTACTACACACCACATACATCAAATAATCCCATAAATGCTTTGTTCTGCTTTCTTTGAGGGATACATTAAACTCGTACCGAATGTTTCCTTAATTTACGCAACAACAAAAGGGTTATTAATTTTTACCCCATGGTACAGAATGTGCAGGCAGATGAGGTGCGTGTGCAGCTACAAAAGCAGGGCTTTTCCAATGAGCTGATAGAAGAGGCGTTGGAGAACACGGCAAGTGTAGACCTCGAAATACTCCTTGATTATATCGAGGAAAAGATGTGCAAAATGGATAATCGTGATGAAAGGAATGTGTTAGAGACAAAGGAGGACAGGGAACGTAAGAAGAAGTTAGAGGAGCTAAAAAGGCAGAAGGAGTTGAGGCAGCAGGAACGATTGCATTTGAAGAAGCTGCGCGATCAAATCAAGGCAGATAGAATCGAATTGGAACAGGAGAAGAAAAAAGAGAGGGAGCAGGACGGTGTTGAAAAGACTGTAGAGATGAAGCCGGTTGTTGGTCCTGATGAGTGCTCCATCACCGTTTTCAATTTAGAGAATGGCGAATCCTTTGACGTAATCATGAAAAAAGATGAGTCGGTGTCGAATCTATTGCGGGAGATTGAAGGCAAAGTAGGATTGGCAGATCCTGAAATATTTCTGGGTGATGATCTTGTGGAGGATGACAGGAAGAGCTTGGATGAGCACGGATTATATCCCTTCGCTACGCTTATTATAAAGAACGCGGAGTAATGATAATTAAAATAGTTTGTTGCTTTTCCTTTTATTTGTAACGGCTGCGTTATGGAGTGCTACCGGCGTGATTTTTTATATTTTTCTAGTTTGCGTTTTAGCCTGTAAACTTGCAGAGTCGTGCACACGACTGTTACCTGGGAAGATGCGTGCTGTCGTGAGGTCAAGACGGCTGAAAATAGCAATTGTATACGTGTCAATATGAAGGTTCAAACACACAAAAGTATAAATAGAACGGAGTAATATCATGGCATAAACGGGAAGGCACGAGAACTGAATAGCACGGAGCAAAGGTTTTTGACCTCCGGTGGCGTAGGAACGAATTGAAGAAAATGCAACGGGAGTAAGTAAAATGGGATGTACCTCCTTGCTCGGCATGTGCTGAAAGGTAAAAGGATAAAGTGTTTCATACAGCGGTAATCAACGGTTCAGTGTGAATGAATAATCCATTTGTACCTGAGAAATGGAGGTAAATTAAGAAATGCAGCATTGGCCGTAATAAGTCATAGAGCAGCATGCTGGCAGGACACACCATAGAACATGCCAAACCATACATCACAAATATAAATCATGCTCAATAATCAGCTGTGGAACACGCTCATCAGCCCAAGACCTAAAACAACCGTTTATTGATACTCACTCCTTCATACGGCGCAGCAGTTCACTAAACACAACGCTAAGACTCTTTACAAGGGCCTCCTCGGTGCTTCTCATCCTACAATCGAGGTAGACCATCTCATCGCGCCTGATCTTCAGATTGATCAGAACATCCTCACCAAGAAATGTGGTGCACACCAGGTTGGCAACCAGGAAGGTGCTCCTGTCCGTTCTTACGTCAACAACATACGCCTTTACACACTCGGCAATCGCACGGAAGATGTGCTCTACGTGATGCATGCACCTGAACCGGCTCGTATACGTATTCTCCCATTCAAGCACGAGCCACTGTGTCTTGAACTCCTCATTCTCAAGCACTCTGCTCTGCAAGAAATCGTTCACCCTGAAACTAAGCGTGCTCATGTTGAGCACATGACCAACATTTTTTACGGTGTACGACACGCATCCTGTGATGAACCCGTTAAACACCTCCTTAATGGTGAACGAGAACGGCATTTTGATGATGCTGCGTGCACCAAGGCTCAGGGGCAGGCACGTGAAATTATGAGTAATGTTACAGCTCGTCGTAAAATCGAACAGAATGTTTTGTATCACCTTGTTGGTCTGGTTCACCACCAGCAAATCGATGTTCACGCACAGTCTGCTCACACGGAACGCAGCCTCTATGTACAAATGATCGGAGTAGCCCGTCATTTGACACGAATTTTCCTCTCTGTCCGCACTCTTAGGGCACAGAAACGCTTTGATTTGTTCGTCCGTATCATCGGCCCGTTTTGTTTTGAGGAACTTAAAGGTGAGCACATCGAGCACGTCCTTGTTCGTGGTTCTGATCACGTTTACGTTCTGCTTGCTCGCTGTTTTTAATACGTGGTGACCGGTGTTGTTGTTCGCGCCGTTATCAGCACGTTCCTTGCCCTTGTCCGTGCTACTGGCACGACCAGCATTCTCATCCTTACCGTTATCGCTTAGTACATCACCGAGAACGCCCGCCATGATTTCATAACTGCTGAAATCAAAACACTCCTCCTTCCTTCCCCGCTTGATCAATTCAAGCACCTTATCTGCTACAACCCTCTTGTCCAGGGCCCTCTCTCGGAAAAACTTGTAGAGTGCAAGTGCACACGCTACGCCGAAGTATACGGTCGATGAGAGCGCATTACCGGCGACCATCTCATCGATCTTTCCCAGGAACTCATGTGCAAGTCCGTTGTTCGATGCTACTGCGCTCACAACCCGTCTGAATATCCGGCCGTACTTTATACGGTGCAACACGCTGAGCAGGTATCGATGAGAATGCGTGTCACTTTCGAGCAGGTTAATCGCTGCGTATGCTGCCTCAGGATCACCGAGCACGAACTGCTGAACCGTTCTGTTGAGTTCGGCGTTGTGCACGTTAAAATTCTTGCGGATAAAAATCGCCTGCTCGATCAGAAAGATGAGGAAGGGCGTGTCACCGTGCGATTGCTTGATCATGCCGAGTATGAACTCAGAAATGACGGGGTAGTCGGCCATGTCTGCCACGCGGTACACCAGCTCAAACACGATATGCATCACATTGCTGTCGAGCAGCGTGAGCAGCTCGTTCACCTGTATGCGTGTGTAGTACACGTCCTTGATGCACTGCAGCCCGATTTCTTTCAGCGAAGGCTCCGAGCGGATGATCTCCAAGATAATGCGCACTGCACGATCCTCTGAGTTTTTATGGCGCATGAGCAGCAGCGCACACTGAAACCTGCACTTGTTGCTGTTGATACACATCCACAGCAACTCCTCGGTAGGTGCATCGCACAGCACAACGCTGAGCAGCTCCTCAGGCACATTCTTAAAGGGCATGTGCACGATTTCGTTCACCAGCGCGCCCTTCTCCAGATAAGTGCTTGTCACCTTCTCAAACACTCTCAGCGATGCATAACACTGTCTCAAACAGTACGGGTTGGTCTCCTTCGCCATGCACCGTCTGATACGATCAGGAATATCCGGAAAGCTCGCACCAAAATGCTCGTAAATCTTCGTTACGCACAGCAACGCATTCCTACGCACGTAATAATGCAAGTGCTCCAGGTTGTGCACGATGGGCCCGAACATGAGTTCAATTATATCGCCATACATCAACGTACACATAAAATGCAGCACTCTGCCACGCACATACTCGTTGGGGTGTTCCAAGTCCTTGCGCACCTGATTGGCAATCAGCAGTATCTCGGCCAACATGTTGCCATCCTTGTCACACTTTGGAATCATCTCAAGGAACAGATAGAATATCTTTTTGAGTTGCGTGTCACCGCACTGGCATACCTCACGTATTGCTGTCGTGGTGTATTCTGAAAGGTCGGCGTTCTGTGATAAAAGGGTTATCATGGTGCGCAGGGCATCTGCCTTTTTAGCTGTTTTCGGAGATGTAAGATGTGCCAGGATCTTTTCTTTGGGGATTGGGGGCTCTGCCGTTACTATGAGTGGATGCATTGAAGGGTGAACTAAAATTTAGAATTTAAGAGGATAGATTGGAAATGAAGAGGAGATATAGGAAATGAGGAGGAGAGATTGGAAATGAAGAGGAGAGATTAGAAATGAGGAGGAGAGATTGGAAATGAAGAGGAGAGATTGGAAATGAAGAGGAGAGATTGGAAATGAAGAGGAGAGATTGGAAATGAAGAGGAGAGATTGGAAATGAAGAGGAGAGATTGGAAATGAAGAGGAGAGATTAGAAATTAAGAGGAGAGATTGGAAATGAAGATGAGAGGTGAGCGTGGTAGCGAACACGGTGGTAGAAAGTGCGTGGCACTGAAATTAGTGCAAATAAAAAATTGAAATGTACGAGGACAACATTTCATGCAACTGCACCGCAAACGAGGAGCAACGCATCAAATACGAACTGTGACCGCAATACCAACGGTACGGTACGAGTGCTACGTTGTGAGCTTAGCCACAGGGTGCAACACGTGTTACAAAACGCGGACAAGAACGGAACGTGTCATATTTTACTAAACGTGCGTACGTGCTCGTACGAATTTAGATGGTGCAGAATAGCAATCTCGGATTATCGCCTTCCAACTGTTCTGTCATTTAATTGCGGTACGAGGGTGAGAACGGTGCCTTTTCCTAGAACACACGGTGAGAATGGAATGGTTGGGTGAGAGTGAGGAGCGGATGTGATGTGGTAAGAGACGCACCCGTTGACAAGTAGTTATACGGGAGCAGCAGAAAGAAGATGTACCATGGATGCAACGGGCATGTTTAAGAAAAGAAAAATAGCAAACATACGAAATACACCGTTCAATGTCCTTGATGGCACTTTCTCTCCCACGTAACATAATATAATTTACTTACACCATTGCCAGTTTGTAGTAGTTGATCTCGTTGCACCTTCCGATCTGAAAACAGTCCTGGAGAGAGTCTTTGTCCTCACAGATGCACAGAATATCCTCGGTAAACAAAATGCCCTCTGTCTCGCACTTAGCGATCTTGGCCAGTGAGTTCTTCGCATCACACGTAACAAACCTATCGATCGTTTGCGCACACTCGTCATCGGTGTGCATCACAATCTGCATCTTGGAACTGAACGAGTGCTTAAACTCGCGGTACACGTCCATCGCAAAGTGCTTTGCGCACGATATCGTGGGCAGCAGAAAATACGAAAACAGCATATCCTCCGTGAGCACCATCCCCCCGTACTTCGAAATCGTGTCGCACACGTATTTGTAGAACGTCATGTACTTGGAGACCTGACTCACCGGAATGTACCGTGGTTTGATGCTCATCAGCACAAAAATTACGTGCCGTGTGACACTCATGTGCCTGACACCCCCCAACCTGTGCCCATGCATGCACTCGTTGTACACGATCATGTTTACACTGAGATCGCGTGCATAGCACTCCGGTGCACTTTTGAAGTTGTGCAGCTCAACCTGCGTGAATATAGGGCTGCGCTTCACCGGTATGCCCCATGTGAACAGCACGGCATCATCGCGGTGCTCATACAGAAATGCAAACCTACCTTTCGTGTTCGACATCATATGATCCAGCGATATGCACACCTCTATAAAGCCTTTGTGGGCTGCCAGGCCGTTCGCCATGCTCACAACGCACTCGTGTTCATGTTTGGCACCGTAGAACACAAATTTGTATTTCTTACACTTCCAGATGAGCGTGTGGCATTCATCGGGCGCACACTTCCTGTGCGTGGAAACGTGGTGTGATAGTTTTGATTTTATGTATTTGTACAGATCGGTGAATGCTGTGCTATCTTTTTGGTGTTGTTTGGCTGTTGATGATCTTTTGGTGTGGATGCGTGTGAGATCGAGCAGACCGTAGAAATCGCACTCGTTTTGCTTTTTGCGGTCGGTGCACTTCTGCTGGCTGGTGCACTTCTTCTGGTCGGTAGCACGGTGCACCTGAGCCGTCTTCTGATCGGCACAAATGATCGTCCTACCCTTTTTCTGCCTACCACTCTCCACGTTCACCTTCTTCCCGTTTACTCCACCTTCAATCTTTTCTACCGATCCACACTTAAACGGCTCATCCCTCCGCACATCACATAACCGGTCACCAACCACGTGTACGCCCGTACGCTTCACCATCCCAGTCCCTTCACATGACAGTTCCTTTCCCTTCACCACCTTGTCCAACTGTGCACGCACAATCGATAGCAACGTACTGTCCATCCCCTGTCCACTCTCAAATACCACGTTCTCATTAATCTTGTAAAAATCGTTTGTCACTCCGTGCCCGGCATCCACACCGATCAGATAAACACTACGGTGCCGCTGCCTGTACCGTTCATACACATCGTACACTCTGTCAGTTCCCATAAGAACCACAAAGCTGCCATCAAATGCAAGCACAAGCATGTCACGTCCGATATGCTTGAGCACTTCGCGTGTGCATGTGCGTGTTGTTGCGTATATCTTTATGTGCATGTTGCTTATTCTAAGCTCTACTACGCGTGTGCTTGTGTTGGTACATTCCCTTTTTGTGTTCGTTTTGCTATGCACTACCATTTTTTGATTTGTAGGCGAAGGGGTGCAATTATTCGCTTAAATGCGTATGATTTTTGGTTTTGAGATGGACGAGGAACGGAATGAAGGAAACGCTTCCTATGACGTGACTAAAAGAATGTTACAGCGTTGTTACAGCGTGATCATTCCTTTAGCGTGATTAAAACAATAATTCGTTAAAACCCTTTCTTATGAAATACTCTGTCATAACACGTAGCACTAACCGTGCTATGAGGAAATTCTCGTCAATAAGTAAAATATAAAATTTAATTGCACTCGTAGGGCACAGCAACTGAGCAGCACTGATTTAACACCGGTACGTATTTACGGTGAAATAAAACGTAGTGATTTATTACGTACGATCTGAGGAGTGATGCATCGCGTACCTGCATTGTATCGGCAGAGTACCTCGTACGACTTAATCGTACTGTACGTGCACATCCTGCCCATTCACAAACACGAGGTGCCTTTTAACCAGCAAGTTCATACTGAACGAACGTGCTGATGGTTCTTCTGCCAAATAACACGGGTACAGCACCGTTACCGTACGGTTTGCTGTGCCGGTCCTTTCTATTAACAATACGTTTGCTCACGATCTTACACACCTCAGAGTGCTGATCGTTTATCAGTGATTTCATCAAAATTGCTCCTTAAATTGATGTGATGTAAAAAATTGCTGATCCACAGCACTTCTACCTGCAACAACACGGTGGTCGACTGGTGCGCAGATATTCAGCGCACCATCATCGTAGATGAGTTGGTCTTGTAAAAATTGCATTTCATACCGTAAATGTAATATTGAATATAAAAAGGAATGGCATAGTAAATTAATAATTAAATGCGCTGATAATAATTTAACTATCAATCATCATCTCAATTTAAATAAAAAGACAACTCGAAAGCTGATTGCTCAGCAGAGGAGAAAAATCAAAGTTTTATTTCGTACCGTTGTGTAACACAAAGAGTTTACGATGGGTTCAGCTTGTTCTTTCTTGTCCACGCTCAGCCACAACATAACACGGCAATTACGTGGTTATCAAACCGAAATTAATGTTTTGGCCCCAACTGAAAGATCCAAAACACGTGAAGTAGCACAGGCAATTAAGAGAAGAAGCATTATTTAATGGGTGCTCGAATTCTGCTCTGTTTTATAAACAGAAGCAGCGCAGTTTGTATTTAATAAAATTATTAACGTTTTATCGTTCATGTGTTGAGGGAAGTAATTCTTATGAACAGAACTGTTGGTGTGTCTCTGCCCAGATGCGACTCTGGCATACAAATTTGGTTGCTTTGTGTGTGGAACGGTCTCCTACCTTTTAACTACCAATTACATTAAATTCGTCTGGCGTGCTCTTACTTTCCATAAATTATCAAAATTGTTAAATTGCTTTACCACATTCTCACACTTTAATTTTTGATGGAACGAGTATTTTGTACGAATATGAGCGATACTCTGAAGTGAGAGTGTGTAAATTAAGCTTGAAGGTACATTTCGTTTGGTGCGGCGGGCATTTAAACAGTCTATTTGAACAGTCTATCGATACGGTATGAAATGCGGAATTGATAGTTTGTGCGGCTAACATAATTACCATGTACGAATAGGGTGCCGATTTGTTGTGGAACGGATAACAAAAGCATGCTAGCACATTCCTACCTGTGATACACGGTAGAACGCTAGTAGCATTTAATTAACCAACGTAATACACACTTCTACTGCTAAGGAACACCAGGTACACGGTTTGATACTTCAATGCTACCAGGAAGACCGGCCTGATCGATCAACTGTTATTAAAGCCGTGGTACCTGTGCAAGCTAATAATTGACTTACCACGCTGTTACATCTTACAGTGAATAAAACACTCAGTTGGTGCAATTTGCTAAAATTTACTAAAATTTGAAAATGGTTAATGGTTGTTTGATGCGTGAGCAGCAACAAAATCATTCACTACTAGCACAATGATTAGCAAATGGTATTATAGCATGGTTTGTTACTGTTGTGGGTGGTAGCAAAGATGTGGAGCAAAGGTTTATGTCCTTTATAGTGGAAAGAATTAAATGTTCTAAAATAGATCGTAATAACAAATATTTATAATTTTTGGTGACACGCATCTCATACAACGCATATCCGTTCTAAAATAGATCGTAATAACAAATATCTATTTGCGGTTGCTGCATTTGTTTCATTTACGTACTTGTTGTGCCCGTACAGGTTAGTTGACAGTAAATTGAATGGTAGTTAATAAATTGGTTTATTTCTCACTTGGTAGTAAATTTATTATATATTATCACCAGCACATGTGCTTATGAACGTGTATCATACTGATAGATATATTTGTGCTATTTTATGACATGCTTTTTAGGTAAAGTTACGGTGTATTATTGCTAATTATATTTTTTGTTATGGAAACGGGAGTGGAGCGGATATTGAAATGTTTTTGTATGGCTTACAGTGAAAAATTGAACAAATGATGGAACGGTTTGTATGCTTTGTTATGAAAGATGAATTGTAATGGAATGCTTTTCGAGGCCAAGTCTAAAAAGGTAAAGGCCCTTTTTAGGATCATCCAAAAATCTATGTATCTCTGCAGAACATACACTTTAAACATAGCAATATGATCGCAGAATACACGTTAAACGTATAATCACATGTTTATGTGAATGGTACGCTGTGTTACTCTGATTTGCCATTTAATGTTAAAAATCTTGGAACAATTTCATCTGCTTTTCGCGGTTTAACGTTTTGTTGAACGGTAGATACGACACTACGCTTTAGTTCCAACAAATATGAACGATACCGCGATTGTTCTGTCATTTCCATCAATTCCTACGATTACCTTATTGAGAAGCGTTAAATAATTTTAGTATATAAGAAGAATGCATCGGTCTTCCCATGTATTTTGTGATATTCTGCGCAGCTTTGGTGGTTACCGCCTACTTATTTTACGATAAAGTAACTGCAGCACCAAAACCTAACGCTCAGAACAGTGGGCTAACTAATCATGTTGAGGTTCAAGGGTCGGTAGATCGATTACAAGTGGATCGTGATGAGCTTGGTTACAATGATGGTGGTTATGATACGGTTGATGATAAAGTTGATGACGCAGTTGATGATAAAGTTGATGACACAGTTGATGAAGAGCATCCGTCAGCCGATGCAGAAACAATTGTTGAACCGAGAAGTACTGGTGTTACGGGTGAAATGCATGGTCGCCTGTCATATTTAAAGGATTCGTTCCACAGAGGCGTGGGATATATCGGAAATCGAATTATGGATGGCTATCGGCAGTTTGGGAAAGGAGAAAATATCAAAAATCAAGATGATACGACAGAACTTGATAACAAACCATCAAGCGTGGAACCAAGAGAAACATTAGATTCGGTTGAAGAGGAGGTTGACGAGCAAGAACAAACTGATAGCAATGTACAAGACTCATCTGCTCATCAGAACGATACCTGCCAAGAAAAGAACAGCGAACAGCATTTAAGGATCCGTCGTGGTTCTGATGGTCGACATCACACCATTCTAAAAACCGAAGACGGTCAAAAGTTGCAACAAGAAGACGATGAAAACCCCGATCTAAATAATGATACATTAACAGACCAGACAGGCTCTTTAAATCCGAGCATGAGAGATGGTACTCATGAGAGTGCTATGTTAGATCATGGGGGATACGACGTGTTTCTGTCAAGAAAGAATGGTGTGTTTGGAGAAGGTGAACAGCAAGGCGACACGACATCGGACGCGCCCATCGAAGCGATGGAAATAGATGATGGAACAGTAAGTGCACCGCCAAAAGATTCGGAGGAAAACCGGCCGGAACTGAGGAATCGAGCTAAAAAGAATCGAAGGCTAACTACGACTGTTAATCGATCGGATATACCCTCTAACCCTACTAATTAAAAGTCTATAAAAGTGCTAATCGCCTTACTCACGGTTTAGACGTGGAATTCGCGTTGTTGCAGGTGTTTTTACTTGAATTTACAGATTATGTTTTTTGTCATGTCATTTACACAGATAAAACATTTTACCACCGCTGTTTAAGGAGGACCCTCTACTTCATGTTGACATTGTAAGTATTTACGACAAATGTGGTCGATAACGCGATCTTTACTTGATGCATTTCGATTTTGTTGGTTTTCCAAGCTGAGCTGGGGCCAAAATATTTTTACGCCCAATCTTTCTGTCCACCGTCTTGATCGCACTGCGAAAGATGCAACTTTTAGTCGCCGAGCAAACTGCATTTGGTGTGAACAAAATTTATAATCTTGACAGGGCTGTAAATTTGTTCTAATATTGGATTGAATTGACATTTCACAAGAATGCCACCCAAAAATACAAAATGTCTTTAATTAGAAGGATGAAAATGCAGGCAAACACTGAAAATACGTGTTTACGTAGATACTACGATCCATCCGATTCTTCGGTGGTCGTTTTGAGCGACATAATCAGATTCTTTGGCAGAGTAGGCTTATCTCCGTTACTGAAGTACGCATGCTTAAGCGCGTTATAGCTGCTTATCCTTTTCTGTGGTTCTAACACGAGCATCTTCTCGAGTAACTCAATTGCATCGTCGCTAGCACCCGTAAAGATAGTTTTCAGCGGCACCCTGGGATATGACGGCAGTTTAACAAAGTTTGACAGGGTGGACATGCCCGGCCACTCGTGTTCGGTTGGTGTTCCAAGCGCTCTGAAGATAACATCGAGCTGATTGAGATCGTTTTCGCCCGCAAAAAACGGAACTCGTAGAAAAAGCTCGGCAAATATGCAGCCGATTGACCACATATCAACGTTGAACCCGTAGATCCTAGCGCCATACAGCAATTCGGGCGCACGATACCACCTCGTGACCACGTAGCTCGTCATATTATCGCTCAAATCTCGCGACAAACCAAAATCTGCTATTTTCACGATGCCATTCGCGTCCAAAAGAATGTTATTCGGCTTGAGGTCGCGATGTACAATGAATTTGCGATGTATGGCGTACACGCCCTTCATCACCATGAGCATGATAGCTTTTATGTCACTTGGCATTATCACAAGCTTTTTGTTTTTGACGATCTCTTCCAGGTTGTATGGTGCATATTCCAACGCCATATTTACGCAGTTGTTGTGGAAGAACACTTCAAAGAGTGTGAGCACATATTTGCTCCGTATCCTTTGCATGTTTTTTATCTCTCGTATGGTGCTCAGATCTATGCCCGTGGTGCTGCTGTAGTGCTTTATTTTTTTGATGGCTACCATCGATACGCCCTTTGTGCCAGAGGCGTCCTTCAAAATTTTGTGCGGGCCCTTTGATTCCACCATTTGAGCGAGGTATACCACGGCATACGTGCCCTCGCCCAATTTTTTTTGCCTTATGTAGCTCAGCATAGGGGATGCTCTAAATCGCACTTTTTTGCTGCCTACACAGCCATCATGAGGATGCACTACCGAGCCTCTTTGGGTGAAGAAAACTGTGCAATCAGCATGTGAATGCATTAGTGCCAGGAAATGGAACGTACACCACGTCCTGATTTACTGCAAATGACCGGTTATCAGACGTTTTGAGGGTAGTTGCGGTGCAGCTGAGGAATCAGAGGTGAGCAAATTGAAGAATACAATGAGGGAGTGCTGGTGGTATGATAAATCGTTGAACAGAGGTTGTTGTTTGTGGTGGTAGACATTAAAAAATGCTTTTTACAAGCACTGGCAGTACCTGCACACATCGGAAGATGCTCAACAATTTTTACATGGTAATATGTCCCGTTGGGAAGAACGTGTAGATCACCAAGAAGCGAATAAACATAGGTTAAATAGAAAATTTGTGTTTGGCCCCTGCCACGCTCCCCATTTTTAAGGTATCTAGATCAAACTTTGATCTTGAACCGTATTTTGCACATATTTATGAACACCTTCATGTATAGCCTGCTAATTGGTTAGAAATACGTTCGTGTGCCATGTTCAAGTATTTTCTCTATGCCACAGAAACGATCGCTTTCCAATCTAACCTTCTCAATTTGCACGCCTGTACCCGCGATCGCATTTAACATTTCATGATTCGTTCTGACACTCCGCTATTGTTCGTCCGGATAACACTGCCGCGTAAGAAGATAAGTAAATAATTTTTAAAGCCAAGAAATAGAGTAGCAGCGCCAAAACAAAACCAATAAATTTACCTCTACCTCAATGCTCTCACAACACTGCAAATAAGTTTACTAGCAGCTCAATGCATATATCGTACGATAAATTCATTTCGGCAACAAAACGTACAACGCGTTAGTTCGTTGTAAAAGAAAATGAACGTAATTACACCATGGTAGAATACGTCGCTACATTACTTCGTAAATATCAGCAGTTAAATATTCATTTTAAATAAACTATAAATTAATTTAAATACGATCACTAATCCTGAGGGTCTCCTACCTCAATCACTGCTGTTCCATCATTCACAGTTCTATGGATGATCACACTCGTAAGGGTATGTTGCTGAGCCGGCAGGCATCAGCTGAGCGGGTACCAAATTTACGCACCGTTTCAGCAGGGCATCGGTTGGTGAGCGTTTGATGTTTAATTGTGAATTTATCAGAATGCTGTACTTTATCTTTTGCGATCAATCTGCATGTTTTGGAACATACCACTCAGTGCGCAGTGCACAGCAAATAAAAAAACGTGCTTTTAGTAAAAAATGCTTTGGCACCGTGTGCTTTACAAGGATGTGGATGAGATGCGAAGGGCACGTTGTACAAATCTGATCGCTAAAATGTGCTATGAGCCGTGGTGCGGCAGCTGAGCACAAACAGTGGTTTGCTAGGAAATGTCCAGTGGGTGACAACAGCATTCATTCTCTCTAAAAATGATCCGTTCATCACAACTACGGCTCACACCCAATTTATCACGTAATTACGCTTTAATTATCATTTTTCTCTCATCTACAAAATCATATCTCAAACGTTTCATCGTGCGCATTCCATTACGCACTCATCCTTTCTTCCTTGTTCGATAATAAATTAATTATCACCGTGCCACGCTCAATCCTCTTTCTCATCTTTGTTCGATGATAAATTAACTACAAACTGATAAAAGAACAAAAATTTTAAAAATAAGGACTCCCGTAAGAATGAGAAAAATTTTTGTATTCCATGCGCTACGCACTTTCTCACCAATTACACCGTTCATCACGCCTTTCTTCGTGGAGAAGAAGCAGATTAAGAACACTTCGTTCCACAACAGTGTCATTCCGTTCTTCTTCATTTCCGGCTTTTTGGCCAGTCTTGTTGGTCCGCTATTCGTTGAGCACTTCGGCGAAAAAAACATTTTGATCTGGGACACGGTCCTTGATCTGATCTTCCTTGCATGTTTCTTCATCATACCGAACGGTCGGGTCGCTCCGCTCGTTCTGATTACGTGCATGCATGGCGCAAGCTCGAGTCTCAGCCTGCTAACGAAGGGCATGCTGTATGCAGAGGGCGGATCAAGAGAGAAAACGTACAGCACGTTCAATGTGATAAAACGCGTGAGCAGCATTCTCTCGTCGTGGATCGGTCAGGACCTGTTCTTTGCCTCGTCGGAGTACTCGCCCGCGCTCATCCTGTCCATATTGTCAACCACATGCTGTCTGGCCACGGCATTCTTTCTCACCGGAACGGTGAAAAAAGCAGAGAATACGCTGTTCACTACTGCACGCGTGCTTACGCGTGACTCGTTCACCCGCAATTACGTATTTTTCAGCGTGCTCAACATCATCGCATCAACCATTTACATATCGTTTGCGTTCTACTCAGCCAACATTTTCATAGAACGGCGAAAAAATACAAATCTGGCAAGCAACGTAATCGGCAGAGTGCTGTACTACGCCTTGCTGCCCTTCCGTGCGCTGATATTTCTGTTCATCAAAGCGCTCTCGCTCGTAATGCCCATAAAATACGATCCAAAATACGACGAAGAAAAGCTCATTTTCGGTTACGTAGACGGCATCGCCAAGATAGTATCTGTGCTGTTCTCCACTCTGCTCACCAGGAGACGCTACGAAACAAGCACTCTTGCATACATCTCACTGTTTCTTGTTCTGCTTTCCATCGTAGCCACCTTCCTCATGGGTTATACGTCCACGCTCATCTCGTCCTATTTATGTTATGTATTTGGTGCCACACTTTCCAACACGCTGCTAATGCTTACACATTCAGGATTTAACAAAGCACCGCATCTTCCGACATTACTTGGCATCAATCTCACCATTTCCAGCGGCATTCATATTGGTATCAGCTATTTCAGCAGATGGAAGAAGATGAACGCAAACCAAAAGATGTACCTGTATTTAGGATCGTCCATTGTTTTGTACTTGGTGGCACTTTCAGTGCGATGGACCAGCTAGAGCAATTAAACTAGACCTGTCATTTTAGCACGTGTTCTGGATGCTTGCCATGTCTACGGCAGCATTTTACCGCTTTATCGGATCAAAGCCGGCTGCCACGCTCGTCCGAATCATTTCATGATGCTGGCAAAAGGGCAGCATCTGATCTGTGATGCCCACTCAGAACAGTCTTTCCAGTTCCTGTCCAAAGCATCCTCTATCGATCACCACTTTTACACCCATTAGAACGGATCTACCCGTTGCTGTTCGATATATCATTAATTACCAACCATTTCTAATACATGTGTAGATCACCTCTACACGTTACTAAGCACCCGCTCCCCGTACATGTCCCTATCTAACCGTAGCGCGCTAATACATACCAAATCGCGCACAGTGCTCTCTTCGTTGCCAGGGGTCCTTTCTTGAGCGTCGTATTTAATGGCCAATCCGGTATTAATGCATTTTAGGAAACATCCTTATAAATTTTAATTTTTGTAATAAATACTGAATTAGTCATTATAAACGCAAAATTGTTAGAACAGCTGTATTTAAAGAATTTTATGCAGCATTGCTATTGATGACACGGTTTGTTCCCTATGACTTTTATGGGTAGCCTATGATCTCACAATATGCCGTGATAGATGAAAACAGTCATAAATCTAAAACATTTTGATAATCTACCCAAAATTATCAATATTATTCGAAAACGGCTGTGAAAGCTGTCGGTAAGTTTGAAGAAAAAAATAAAAATTTTTATTCCGCACTAGCTGCGCTATTTCCGTTTATAAAACGAGTAAAGCTGCACTACCCATTAAATGATGTTTCCTTCTTCTATATGTCGTGTTATGTTTTTTCTCTTGTCTAGGATCTTTTGGCAGGCGTTAATAACTTAACTTCCATTTGTTGATCATGTAATTTTAATATTGTAAGTAAATGATGACTAAATGCGTCTCAGAAAAAATGAGTTTTAGAACAGCTTTTGCTCTTCATTCAGTGTAAATGCTTGGAACAAAATTTTTTTTTTCAACGGGTCAAATAATTTATTACCATCTAACTGACCAATCAGCTTTTGAGCTGTCTTTTTATCTATTGAATGAATGAATAATGATTTTGCACAAAATAAAAAATTAGGAACTGTTTGTTACTCCGTTTGTGCAGAACAACACTTCGCTCAACCATAGAAACGATACAAATGGTACGATTTTTGGATAGCAGTTAAGTCTTGAACCGGTAATATATCGAAAAATGCAAGACAGGTAAAAGCAACGGAAAATGTGACATGATGCACCGAAAAAGAAAGTCTTATTCGTAATGTTGTAACGAAAATAGAATTAATTTGCATTCGTTTGCCACAAATATGTCTGGTATAGAAGCAGAAAGGAGAAGGAACACAACGTTTTCTCAGCGCCAACACTCAGGTCACCGAACACCAAAAACCTATCTGCCTTCAAAGCTTTCCAAAGATCGTACCGTAATGAAAGTCTGTTCTTAACCAACTAGCACTCGCTCCAATACATGAACAGGGATACGACAAGTAGGCAACAGAACCTTGTTCCGTTCTATAAACGATGCTAATTTAGCTATCATAGGAATAAAAATAGAACAACAAGCGATCTCTAACGGTAGCACAAACAGGTACGGCAAAATGTGTATTTGTACTTTGGATACATTCTTAAATTTATTTAAAGCCATTCCCAAAATCGTTAAATCAGCTGTTAGGCCCATTCTCACGCAACAATCCCTTACCTACCCCATCCCGCGCACAAATCGTCCATTCTTCTTTTTTTGTACCGCTCCATCCCCACAAAATGTACAAGAACCACATCCTGGCATACAACGACTTTCTCTCCTCAATCCCCCACATAATACGCACAATACCATCCCTAAAGATCAACAACATACAAATAACCGTAACAGACGTGCTGTTCGACAGACCGGTACTAGCAGACGACACCATAACCAAACTGCTGCCCAACGACTGTGTGGAGGGCATGCGCAGCTACAGGGGACGAATGCACGTAAAAGTACATGTAAACGATGGTATACGTGGATGGGACGAGCTCAAAAGTGCCGGCTACTTTCCTGTGATGGTGGGATCGAGGCTGTGCCACAACGAGATAAATGAGGAGCAGCTCACGAGCTACTATGATGATGTGGGCGATGGACTGGGCGAGGCGAGGGGCGGATACTTCGTGATTGACGGCTTTGAGAAGGTGGTGCGCTTTTTGATCGTGCCCAAGCGCAACTTTCCGTTTTTGATACAGCGTGAGTCCTTTAGAGCTAAGAATGCCATGTTTACGGCAAAGGCTGTGGAGTACCGCTCGGTGTATTGTGAAGTGGGCCATGTGCTTTATTTCCACCTAATGACCGACGAGAACGTGATGATGCGCTTTACGCTCAAGAGACGCGAGTACAGCGTGCCTGTCATTCTTGTTCTTAAGGCCCTCAAGGACGTAACAGACAGGCAAATTCTTGATTTGCTCGGTGTGGAGGGCCGGTTTATCCTGGACACGGGCGTAACAACCGCAAATGCACAGAAAATGCTCGGTGCTAAGTTTGCATCCCTTGGCATTAACGTGCTTGATGCCATTCTTCCCCATCTGCGCACATATAGCGATAAGTTTGATCTGCTGATTCTCATTCTGAGGAGACTCAGAGATGAGGAGTACGATGATATGGATGCGCTCAGCTCGCAGGAACTGTTTGGTGTGCGGCAACTGTTCTCGGGGCTGCTCAGGGACAAGCTGGAGGAGGGACTGGAAGTGCTGCGCTACGTACTTACGGAGAGCGAGGGCACAAACGAGGGTAGGAGCAAGAAAAAGGAAAGCGGGAAGATGCGTGACGAGCTGGCAAAAGCGAATAACACCCCAAATGACAGCGGCTCCGGCAGCAAAGTAGTGCTCACAGCAAACGATGTGCTGAAAAAACTCCGTTTCAACGTGGCCAAGCGTGCTGAGCATTTCCTTGCAACAGGCAATCTCATCCTCAGAACAAACGACCTCCTGCAAACAACCGGGCTGGCAGTGCTGGCAGAGCGTATAAACACGTACCGCTTCATAAGTCATTTTGAGAGCGTCAACAGAGGTGCATTCTTCGCAATGCTTAAGACCACGAGTGTACGTGCACTGCGCCCAGAAAGCTTTGGCTTTCTTTGTCCAGTACATACGCCTGACGGTGCACCGTGCGGGCTAATCGTGCACATGGCGATGGATGCAATCGTTGGTCGGGACGAGGAATTGCGGGTCAAGGGCTGCTTGGTGGGAAGTAGGCGGCTGGTGGTTGATGGACGGGTTGTGGGATATGTTGATGACCGGTTCAGTGAGTATTTGAGGAGAAGGAGACGAGCTGAGGGATTAAAAATTGAGATTGTGGACAGGAAAGGCGCTGTTTATGTGTTCGGTGGTGCTGGACGGCTTATGAGAAAGGTCCTGGACGGGGGTGTTGAGGTGTATGTGGGGGTGATGGAGCAGGTTGATGCCGTTGTACTGAACGAATGTGAAAAGGGGGAGATGGAGATCAGAGATTGTGAAAATAGGAATGGAGAGTACGGAGCAAAGACCACTCGTAGCAAGGGAAACACTGTCAATGCGCATGATTACAGGTATAAAAACAATGAAAACATGCATAAACGGGAATATATTAATGAGAAGAATCTAAGCTATAGAAACGGAGCAAACACGCATGAATTAGGTCGTAAAGACGAAGAGCAGAGCCATAAAAAAGGAGAATATGTGCATAAACAGGATGTTAAGGATAGCGGACATAACGAAGCGCTCAATAGCACGGCCAATCGCGTAGCGCTCGACCAGCACAATGCTGCGGCGCACACGTCGCAATACCTAAAAATGCCCGTGTACAGAGAACGGCCAAACGCGCGTTTCTTCTCGTACGTTGCCTCAACCATTCCCTTCTCAGATTACAACCAGTCTCCGCGTAACATGTACCAGTGCCAGATGGCCAAGCAGGCCATGGCTTATCCCACGTTTGCGTACGAGAGACGCACGGATAGCAAATTCTACGTGCTCAATAACATGCAAAGACCGCTGATTGGTACGTTCTTGAGCGCATTGCTTGGCACAAACGTGTACATAGCGGTGCTCTCGTACACATCGTATGATATGGAAGACGCGATGGTCATCAACAAGGGCGCAATAGAGCGGGGACTGTTTGACGGATACGTTTACATAACGAAGGTGGTCGAGCGCACAGACGGTGTGGTACTTCCTGATGTGGGCGAGTTACTGATGGACGGCAGCGTGCTTTATGTGAAGGACGGGGAGAGCGTAAAGTACACAGGGGAATGTGCACGTGTGCACCGTGTGCGGGTAACGGACACTCTCGCCATAATTACGCTGCGCGTGAGAAGGTCACCCCAGATCGGTGACAAGTTCTGTAGCAGACATGGACAGAAGGGCGTGCTTAGCTACCGATACAGAGCTGTTGATCTGCCGTTCAACGAACATGGCATGGTGCCTGATCTTATCATCAATCCGCATGCGTTCCCAAGCAGAATGACGGTCGGTATGATGATGGAGATGCTTGCAGGTACTGTGGCAGTGGTAAAGGGCGAACGGTACGCGTGCCCGCCCTTCAAGGAGTACGGCCGTGCGCACACACACGAGTACTTCTGCGAGCAGCTGCAAGCGCTGGGTCTGAACTACTACGGAAACGAAACGCTGTACTCCGGTGTGACCGGTCAACCGCTCCAGGCACGCGTGTTCACAGGCATGTGCTACTACCAGCGACTCAGGCACATGGTGAGTGATAAGTGGCAGGTACGCTCCGTAGGACCTGTCCAGGCGCAGACACGACAGCCCATAAAAGGACGAAAGAAGGGTGGGGGTGTACGTTTCGGTGAGATGGAACGTGATGCTCTGATAGCACACGGCTGCGCGTACCTTCTGTCCGATCGTCTTATGGAATGTTCCGATAAAACAGCGTTCGAGTACTGCGAGCAGTGCAAAACGTTCCTTTTCGCAAGAAACGGCGAGTGCTTGTGTGGGTGCAAGCGTGTTAAGGTGGTTTATTTGCCGTACGTTTTTAAGTATCTGTGCACGGAGCTGTTGGGGATGAACATCTTCGTTGAGGTTGATGTTGGGCTGTAGAGCAAATCAACGACAATGCGGCTGCCCATCGGTGCCTCGATAGGATTTGCACCGCGATTTTAGTAAATTATCCTTTGCTGCTAGCTTTAGTCTTGGTACACCGCTATCAGTGGTATTTGATGTGCGGTTTGATTAACTTTGATGTGAAGAGACTGTGAGCACTGAATATCCTGCGGGAAGGGACCGCGCGAACTGAGTGTTTTATGAGGATAAGGCTTGGAATGGAATATACCACGGAGATAGGGCCTGCCGATGAATGTTTATAAAAATCAAATTGAACAGAACCACACGGTCAAACACACACAATTGCGTTCTTTACGGCTGTGACGCTGTTGCCGTTGGTTCAGAAATGGTTCGTCATTGTGAGCACGTTTGTTAACGTAGAAGGAAATGAAATGGTTATTGTTGCCTTAATGGCACGGATCTGTACGTTACGAGGATGTTGTATTGATGGAGAAGGAGGAAATAAAACATCCATGGTAGCGTAGCACGATGCAATAAATCATGTCTTTTCGTGGAAGAATAAGGAAATGAATTGGTTTTATCATTCGTTTCTACCGCAGTAGAGCAAAGGTTTTGTGTTGTTACGTCTGTTGGAGGAGTGCACGCGCCAATGCTGAGCACTTTGTTGGAGCACGATGCAACGTTTGCACACATCAGCCGAGCGGTGGGAATATCGTGTTCGTATGGAACGATCGCACAGAATGAGCTTTAAATCCGGATCAGCAGGTAAAAGCGTGGTGTATAAGGGCTGTTCTACAGGTATGCCAGGATTATGGGCAGTGTGTAAGTCATTGGTAGGGACAGTGCTGGTGTATTTTACCATGTAATGTGGTAAAAGGGCCTGAGATTGATCTTGATAGCGTTCCTGATCGCATATGGGTGCAATGACATGCTCTGCGATCAACCATTAGGCATGCATGTGTAAGCACCTTCCCCAAAGAACACTTTTCACAGATCATACGTGCCATCAAAACAAATACTACGATTCAAAACAGTTCATCAATACATTTAATTTTCGTTGCCATCATTTCTTCTTTTGTTTCTTCTTCACCACCGGAGAGCTGCCCAAATCAAGATCGGCCGTCTTCAACGCCATTTTCTTACTCTTGTTCATCTTCTTCCTAGGTGTTAAGCACGTGCTCTTCCCTACGCTATCGCCAGCACCCTCGCTCACACGAATAGAATCAAACGGTTGTTCATCGTAAACACCGCTTGTGCACGTGCCATTGCTCTGTTCCGGTGGCGTAATAGCCGTTTTCTTCGTTTTTATACGTATCAAGCTCATTTTCTTGATGGTACGCTTTTGGTCCTGCTGTTGGTTCTCGCTGCCCTTATTTATCGCTTTCACCTCTTTGATCGTGCCGGTGGATGCACCGCATTCTTTAAAATTGCTTGCTTTCTTTGTTTGCACGTTTTTGTCCTTCTTTCCCGTGTTCTTTGCTGCTTTTTCGTTCTTTTTTGTAGCCGTAGAATTCTTTCCGCTTTTTTGCGCATTTTTCGTGCTTTTAGCGTTTTTTAACAACGAATCCTTGGCGGTCACCTCATCGGTATTTACGTCCTTAACGGTCACCTCATCGGTATTTACGTCCTTGGCGATCACCTCATCGGTATTTACGTCCTTGGCGGTCACCTCATCATTTCTTGTGCCCTTTACGTTTTCGATCCCCTCCCCTGTTTTATTTTCGTTTGCACCTACGGCCCCAGCATCACGTAAATCACCGGTATTGTGCTGTTGCCTTTCTTTCGCTTCTATTTTATTTGAAACGTTCGTACATGCATCGCTCTCCACCGCACTAAACGAGTCCTTTTTCGTGATGCTTTTAGCACACGCGCCTTCTTCTGCGTTGTCTATGGCACTCAGCCTTCGCATACGCTGCTGACCGCTCCTCGTGTCCTTACCAGCACACGTGTTCAACGAGTGGTGCTCATCACTGCCAATCGCTTGTGCATCTGATCGACCGCTGAGCAGTTCTTTCTCACTGCCATTTTGTACGCTCTTGCTGGGATGTTCCCGTGCTGCCGGTTTATTTTTGCTCAACTTCTCTCTAATCTCACGCAGCCCACATTTGTTATCATCTTTTCCCTTGCCAACCTGTCCACCGCTTCTCACACACACAAAATTGCGCATCGAGAGCTTCCTCTCATCCTTGTGCCCTGCGCACTCCTCCAGCACCCCGCAAAACTCATCAATCGTGCCCTCGTAGAACATGTCAAAGCATTCCATCATGTTCTTACACACGCTTTCCAAATTAACGAACACGCTCTTTCCGTTATTAGCGCGCACAACACGCGAAAAGTACTTAACGAGTTGCTTGACACCGTGTACTTTCAGACTCGTGCCCATCACTATGAGTAGCTGGCAGTTGCTGTCTTTCTTGGTCATGGTTGCTATGTAGTGGCTGTCGGGGTGTACCTGGTAGTAGTGGATTATGTTGGTGTTCATCATGCCTGTTACTAACTTGCGGCTTGTTCTTGGCGCTAACGTGTTCTTGGGCGTTTCGCTGATGGCCTTGTAGCTGCCCTCTACTTTGCTGGCGTGTACATCCTTGTGCTTGAGAGATTTCTGTTCTTTTGCGTTTTCTTTGCGATTTTGAACCGCTCTTTGTGGCTTAGTCTTGCTTTCCTTGGACTCACACCGGTCGTTTGTTCTCGTTTTGGTTTTATCCCCAGGTTGAGCACCGGTAATCATGGACCGGCTCTTGTCCGTGCTTTCATTCGTGAGCTCATCACGCAAACCTTTTCTGCCCGTGTTTTTGTCATTTTTTCCGATCTGTGCACTTGCATGTTCATTACCGGTGGCATGTCGTGATACGGTCTTTTTGCCCACACACTCTTCTTCCTCCACGGTACCATCCCTGTCCGTCATCACCTCTTTGTCCTTGAAACCCTCACTCATCCGCTTGTCACCCCCTCCAATTCCTTCGTTCTCTACCGCATCCATCCCACCGCACACCTTTGCTCCCTGCCCGTAATTCTTGGTCAAACATCTTTCACACTCCACTTCACAACCTCTTCCAAACGCTTCACGCTCCTCCCTCCCGAACTGCTTGCTATACCCGCAATACGTGCACACAAGCACGTTCAAATTACCGTGCAGATAAACCAGCTCGGTGCCAAAATCCTTGGTGCACTTCAGACCGGCACGTTCCTCCAGCCCATCCACATTCTGTGTGTAAACGCGCACTTTTTTTTCAAACTCGCGCACATGACTCAGAAAGTAATGGCCATGCGATGGCTGTGCGGCATCGACCGCCTGCTTCAGCTCGCTTATCACTTTTAGGTACGTGCTACGCGTCTCTTTATCGATTGTAAATCGATATGTGAAGATGTGTTCGCCGCGTATTTTATAGCGCTTTTTGAGTGTGGCGAAGAGACCGTCAGTTGAACGGAAATCAGGTATGTTGGACGGCACGCTTAGACCGGCCCCTACCACTATGACCGTGTTTTTGTTGGTGAATATGCTTTTGTTCGCTTGAACGTAGGACGCATCAATTTTTTTCATTTGGAATTTTGAAGGGCTGGAAGGGTGCCTGAGAATATGGAGGGTCGATGGGAAAGCGGTCCACGGTGCAGTTGGTACATTCGTTGTGAGACGTGAACAAATCCATTCAACTCCCTCCATACCCAGGATGTGCTGATTAGTTAAATTGATGGGGTGATTTAGGTTTTACAGTGGTGATATGCTCTTCCAATCGGGCTGTTCCTTATCAGCACGTACCACCCCCCTGATCAATCATTTAAACTATTCTGATGGTTTAAATCAATCACATCAAATTTTGAGCTCTTCTGTTTGAACGTGTCACGCTGGTATAAATGAAAGAAAAATTATCATTGCTATGAGGTGTGAACGAAGGAATAAATAAATTTAGTTCAAAGATAAGCTTTTTTACGAAAACACAAACTTACCTGTCGATCTATGCATGAGGAAGGGTAATAAATGATAAGTAAGGGATTTCTTCGTGAGGTACACGCTTATGTGGCAATTCAGGGTTAAATAGGGAATAAAATATGAAAATATAATTTATTTACGGTATTGCGTGGTGTTGATGAAACGAGCACTTTTGGTTAAAATTCTTTTTGCCCGTTCTTTCCATTATTGATCAAAAATTTTGCACAATTGCTAAAAGAGGAGAATACGCACAGAATAGCCTTGTACGTTTTATAATCTGCACATATTACAAAAAATGAGACTGTTATCAGTGTTGTGTTGTGTTTGATGGCGGATAAAACCGTTGAGTATTTGTTTTAAAACCAGAGTTGAGGTACCTGCTCTTTTCGAACCATGTTCCTGAGAACTACCTTACTACGAGCTCTTGGTTTCTTGAGGCTGTATTTCGTTTCAAACATCGAGGTGAGCAACAACCGGCAACTTGGCCAAAGAGAGTTCGACCAAAAGACCGTTTTGTATTGCACCGCGGGTGCAAAAGCACTTACTCCGTATTAATACATCGATTTGGCACACCCAACAGTAACTTTGTGAATTAAAAGAAGACCGTACTTCTCAGCCACCAGCTTTTTGTTGTTTACTTCCCCATCTTCCCATTAATACGTCTAATACCGTACGAATTACCGACAAGTGGGTGCTTAGTTCGGTGGCAGCGAATTGAGAGCCACCGGTAATTTTACATTTGTTAGACATAGCCATACATCACCAATTATCTGTCATGGGCAGTATTTCCACATAATACGCAATACCTCTCGCCTATGAGCGTTCTTTTGCTTATCACGTTGCACCTCGTATCCACAGCGCAAACCAACTCTTTTGGTGTACCACACCATAACGAATCGCATCGTGGTACGTGTAAATCACATAGAAATAACGTGGCGTTCCGTGTGTTGAACATTTTTTGCACATGGACCGCACTTTTACCAACCTTTGTTTGTGGATCAATAGCTCTACAAAGCGAAAAAATGTTTCAACCGCTAAGCAAATCGCTAGCTGCCCTATGACGAGAAGGAAATATTAAAAAAACATACTCTGAAAAGTATGTGTGAAGAAAAAGACATTTTCTAAAAAATATTCGGGGTGCACTGTTTTGATGGCACGCTTTGAAAATAGAACTGATCGTAAAAAAGAATGAGTTGGGGAATAAGCGGTTTGGAGAAGAATTGGTAAAATTTGAGTTTGTATAGAAATAATATGAGCATGACCTTGGTGAACCAAGCTTGTATGTCTGATTTAGAACTGTTGAGCAAATCACAAATATACGGTAAGGTATATGTTACCGCTGATTAGGCAAGATAATTCATCAAATGCTAATATAGGAGGTGGTACGATAAATGCTTGGTATTTTGCAGGTGCACGCGGTAAATCGTTATGCCCACGTAGGTTACCCAAACTTATTTACGAAATGTTCTACGATAGGTGATATTGCTGGGTCATTTGATCAATATCATCCCTTTTAACACACAATTTATCATTTAGCAGATGCAAGCTGTTAAATGATACGGGCTGCCATCCATTTCATCAGGTCCTAGTTGTTTTTGAAGATTCGGTCTGTCCATTAAAGTGCGCTTGTTCATTTTCTTGTATCACACACGGCCATCTGCACGTCTAATCAAAAGTATTAGCGTACAGCACGTGCTCCCTATCTAACAAAACCGGTTTCCATTTCTTTGTCCAATCCCAAAAATCTTTTTTTAGAGAACAATTTATCGCGGTGTGTTTTAAGAAACACCATAAGCTATAAGCAGGAAATTGAGAGATAATTTACAGTTTTGAGGAAAATTGGAAATACAAAAAAAGGAGAAGTTCATGTGGAAGAAAGCAATTAGTACGTACGAATACTTTGCCGTTTATCGGTGTGCTTTGTGCATGCATTGTTGCTGGCTGGATATCGCATTTGTACCGGGAAAAGGGTGCAAAGTTGCAGTTCTCTTTATAAAGAATAAAAAATTTTAGAATAAGGCAGAAATAGAGCAGCTGCTATCACAGGACTGCCGGTCGTACGTTTTGAGTACGTAACACGGAGAGCACCAAATGACACACATCGTGCTATACGTACATAGAATACGAGGCGCAGTGCAATCATATGGCGATTACCATGTGCAATTTATTATTGTGCAGCGTAAAACCGTGAAACAAAGCAATTGCAAACGTAATTAGATAAAATACATGATTGCACAACTGCTACTCATAAAAATTGCTCTTGTGGTTAAAAACGGACTGTTAGACCGCGCAGAAATGACAAATTGATTAGCAAATTCATTTTATCGTGATATCGATTTAATTGTGCTCTGGCGGCAAATAACACATGGAACTGCGAGAAACGGTGCAATAAATTTAAACACGTATAATTGGTCACAGAAACATTGGAGTAATTAACAAACAGAAAAGGGAAGAAATGCAACAGAAGATATGACGTTCAGCAGCAATGCATGTACACGGTATTTACGCAGATCATTGGTGGCCAGCGCTCTGCCACCTTTTGATAAGGCCAGAGAATATTTGCGCAGCATCCTGTGGGAACGAATAAACACGTTTTTGAGGAAGGAAGTGATCTTTTAGAACACGGTTGCATCCCGATCATCAGATTAAACTGAATTTATCAAACGCATTTTCGTACACAGTCGATCATTGCTGCACCAAAGTTCGCCATCACTGATCACAAACAGTGTAAATCAGCCAAAATGGTTTTCAAATGTCAAAGAGGCAAATGATCAGTTTATATGTAGGGCAAATCACCATTTTAAAGAACTATCCGTGCTCAATAAGGAAATGGCCTGAATTGGTATATTTACAATAAGTAAAAGGCTATTTACAAATTTAAATAGTAAAGAACTGAGCGGTTGCCGCTCAGTATTCGGAATCACAGCACGCACATTCGTGCAAGTAATAACATTATAATTTAAATGTGACGTTTTGCTGATGTTTATGATTGCAATTTTTTTGATAAGGAAAGATTTAAATAAAAAAAAGAAAACCGAATCTATGTTGCATCCTAGAGTGGAAAAAATGAAAATTGGGGAGAAAAGCGGAGAATATGAGTGTGAGAAGAAAAGGGGAGTAATACGCACAGAAGTATCAACTGGTGCCCATGAAAACAACCCAAAATACCTGTACAAGCAGAACGATTTGAGTGGTAAGGATAGGAATGGCAGCATTGATTATGTACACGCCTTATCGGTAGATACTGAAAAGAGTTGCGAGAACAGCCGCCTGCGCGCGGCTACGGACGGTACCGACTTGCAGCACAGAAATATGCGCTTGCACATCGCTTTGAACGGCAAAAAGAATGGAAACTGTGAGAATAGACGTGAATATGCCTTTTTAGGCAATAATGGAAACTACCAGGCGAGTAATCGCGTAAGTGTTGCGATGTACAAGAGCGAGAGAAACGGTGTGCCTGGTAGGGAACCGCCCAGACATTCAAGATATGAAAAAATGCCGGTAAATCGTTTTCTGAAGCCGTATCTGGGCAAGCTGGAATTCATCGCTCCGCATAGAAAGAGCTTTACATTCACAAACGTAAAATTCTATGATAAAGAAAAGAAAATGCACATTGATAAATATGGAAGGAATGAACCGTGTATAAAACATGGCAGCGGTCCTCCTTTGCCAAACGAAAGATTCGGCAAAGTAAATGCCACAATAAATTCGTACGATCGAACACATCACGCAAACCGCAGCTTTATTATTCAGGAAGCGGCACAAGCGCTGTTAATTTTGAAGTACAACCACGAAAAATAACAATCACCTGTGATCAGCAGACAAAAAATAAAAAATTGTTCAGCTATGTCAAGCAATACGTGTGATACGATTGCGGTATGGAACAGTGTTCCGAAGCAGCGTAAATTCTATCTTTGTTTCCGGTACATCCTCACTGAAGAATGCACCAACTTGTCCTTCATCTACTACCGCTCAAACGTTAGAATAAAACACGGTGCGTGATTGTGCACCTTTTCTGTTGAGATGGCAGATACATCCGGTTCGTTTATCGTTCTGCACGTCTTTTTGCCGATATCAACATTTTTTAATTTTGGCTATCTTCCAAGTGCACGACTTTTCATCAACAATTTTTCTTATGATCTAAGAACAGCGCTATTTCCGTTCATGAAACGGAAGAAAGCTGCGCTACCTATGAAATGGTATTTTCTTCCGTTAATATGTCATATATCGGTTTATTCACCGTTTTGGCACTTTGGCATGAGTTAAAGAATTATTTTCTGGCCGTAATCACGTAATTTTGATGCTGCATGGTGTTTGAGAGCGTGTCAGAAAGAATGAGCTGAAAAACAATTCTCTTCTTTTTATTTTGTGCCGAGTAGGAATAAAAACTCTTGATTTTCTAGCTGTCTAATCAACTGTCAAGCCGTCTTTTTATTTATATGAATGGTTTTTCGGTGCCGTAGGATCTTCTTCGGCCTCGCTGCTAAACATGGAGCAACATCGGTTGCTCTGCAGTTTCCAGGCATGGTGTGCAAATAACTGATAGAACATTTCATTGCTGAATTCGTACCGCCAGTGCTGTTTCTTCAAATATTCTGTCCCAATTTTTTTGCGATCACATCACTTCTTCTCAATGATAAGCAGATAACAGCACAAATGACGTTTCCTGCTAAAATAGAACACGAATGCGATCCTTAAACTACGTATTGACCGGCGTACCTCAGATATTAACGGAATATTACGCAGCAAATTTAGAGTGGCAGTGAATTAAAAATGTTCACAGCAATTCTGTTCATCATTGACGGGCAGTGTTCCGATGAAATACGCCATGGTGCACTCCGTTTCCTAACCGGGACCAATGAGACACAATCTGCACACCCGTAGGATTAGTGACGGTCAGCACACCGCTATTCCACTGAAGCGGCACTCCTACCCAGTGACAGTCGCAATGCCGTGTGGTGCCCAGATCAACAAAACATTCCTCGTGTGATTCGGCAATCAGTCCGTTTGGCGTTGCTCAAAGCATCTTTAAACGCATTGCCCAGAGATTATGAACGGACTGCATTCGTTCTACGGGCACGAACCAATGGCAGAACTGTCTGGCACGCTGGACGAGAAGAATCGTGTGCAAATGAACGAATGGATAATTTACTGCTAATGAGCCCTTTTAGGGACGTTCTGGAAGTGGTAAATGGACATCGTTGCGGTTTATGAGTGCAAATCCTTTCGTTATTGCACGTGTGCTTGTTCCACAGCGCTCGTCAGCAAATTATGTGCTCAGCGAAATGCGCGTTGCTTCAGTGCAGAACGGGTGAACGGTAAGATAATCGTGCTCATCCGTGTTAAGCGGAGAGGGCACTCTGGCGCTTTTACCACATCACATCGAGTTGCCAACAGGTAAACCGAGTTTCATCAGCACCTACCGTTTGATACGTGCTACATTTCGGCAGGGCTCTCCCAGGATGGGTTGAAAACGAAGAAAACACGTTCTAACACATCCTTGAAAATCAAATGCTGCCACGCTACTTTACTAAAATGTAATTGCCACCAGCTCGGAGCATCTTCGGTTTGATGCAGCAACGGCCCTTTCACAACGAGCATGTTTGCTATCGTGGACACGGTCCATACATGCAAATCACCATTCCTCGCTTTCTCCAGAGGTACGCCACTTTGCAGCCACTGCCACGAGCAACCTCTTGGACAATTGCACCCGTTATTTTGGTGCACTCACACCCACAGATCATCATCACAGAATTTCTTTAGCAAGATTCAACTTGGCAACACTCACCAGCCAGTCCATTCCTTCCTCCAACCCAACACCCATTTTTCCGCTAACACCGCAGCACTTTACCTCCCCATCACACACTTCACGTCCAACCCTCCCAACAATCTTTCGTCCGCGCTCCCAGTCAATGTCCATTTTGTTGCCATACATCAGCACAGGATAGCCGGCAAGCGTTTCTCGGATTTTATTAAACTCACCTGCAAAGTCACGTGCATCGAACAGGTCGAACACAAAGATTACGCCATCCGTGTCCTCATAAAAATTTGACCAGTACTTTCTGAGTGCTTCTTGGCCGCCTATGTCGAGCAGGGTCAGGTTTGCTCCCTTGTACACGTTCCTGTAAATTGTGTATCCGAATGTTGGCGATGATGTGGCGCTTATCCGTAGGAGGCTGTTTATTATGGTGGTCTTTCCCGAGTTGTCAAGGCCTACCACTATGAATTTGAGGTCGTTATTTTTCTTTTTGATCTGCTTGACGAGATGGTTGAAGGACATGGGGGAAGAATTGGTTGTGCCACTAAAACTGCTCTGTGCAAATGACTTATTTATAAAATGTTTTTTGACAGTGCACTGCTTAAATTTACGAATGTTTATACATCGTACATTTATAACGATGTTTCGCTTGCGGCAGCCGTGCATGGGATGCGCGGCCTTGATCTATTAGGAGGTTGCACAACTCATCGCTATAAGATTCGCTAGAAGAGGCGGGCGCAAGGTAACGTGGCCGAGTGGTTAAGGCGGCAGACTTAAGATCTGCTCATCCGTAGGATGGCGTGGGTTCGAACCCCATCGTTACCATGTGTTTTATGAGAGCAGTGTGCGAGTGGGCTGAGCAGACGAAGCAAAGGGTGCGTTTCATCCCACTTGTTGTTTGCGTGTGCACCGTGGTGCCGTGCATCTTCTTCTCGTTTCGTTCTTACTCCCATTCTGCAGCAGAGGCTGTCACAATTTGTTGTTCTATACCGAGAAATGGAACAACCCCGACCAGAATTTTGTCTTCAGTGCACCATGACAGAAAAACACACCAAAATCACACCTGCTATCGTCAAGGAAACCCGCAAAAAACGCCTCAAGCAGCTGATAAACAAACTCCACGATCTGAAAAACGATAAGTACCTACGAATCAACCATTTGGGAAAGATTGAGTGTAGGCTGTGCTACACCACGCATACCAACGAGTCATCGTACATTGTGCACCGGTCGAGCATGCGCCACCAACTGCTGGCAGAAAAGCAGTTCAAAAGGGATCGAATGCTAAACAACCAGCCAGAATACAGAATGTACAGTGTTGGAGATGGTGATTATCAGGGATACCTTGTCAAAATAAGGACGAAATACGATGTTGCGTACAAAATTGTGAAGGCGCTGGAGCAGAATGTTGAGCCTGTAAATCAAAATTACAATTACTTGGTGTTCAAAGTGAAGGGGCACGATAACATCGGACTACGAGTACACGCAAGCGAGGATTACAGGATTACAAAGCATTTTGATGGTCACAATTTCAAATTGCAGATTCTATGCAAGAGAAGGGACGATTAACACGAGAAAGGAAGCCGGTAAAAAGTTGGCGTACTAAATCGCTTGAACAAATCAGCAGGTACTTTTCGCACCGAAAAGATTTACTTAAACAACCGTTGACAGAGCCCCATCAGCAGGTATCATCGTGCTGCTCGGTGCACTCATCCTACGTAAACATCAAAGCTACCACCTCGCACACCAAAATTAAACGAAATATTCTTCCTAAGCAGCATCACATGCGCTGTCAGGCCAATTCATGAGCGAATATGCCTGGCCGTGATGTACGTGTCACGGAGAGACTCATCCACTGCTGCAGAACTCACAATCACTGTTCGGTACTTCGTACGTTTTTCACTTTCAATTCAAGTCCCATCATTGACATGCACTGCTTGGCACGGAATAGAACACAGTCGTAGCTTCTTTTTATTTCTGTGCTCATTTCTACGGTCAGCAGGTAATCAAGCATCTCTTTCACGTACATCACGTGTGTTTCTTCGATGAAATCGTTGTTCAACACTCGGTTAAGATAAAACTCGAGTATAATTCGGTGAGTCGTACTGTCAGACTCGCCTTCCTTCAATTCTGAAACGAACTTAAGCTGATGCAGGATGTCGTACTTTTTATCGGACAGAAAAATACTGAGAAGCTCGTTTTTGCACCCTGTGCCTTCCAAAAAACGGTACGCTGCCACGTGATAAGTTATCTTTCGATAAAATTTCTTTAAATTAAACGTAAACTGATTGATGTGGGGGATTAAACTGTTCAAGACGTACGGAACGTTGAGAATGTCAGCGCCGCGCTTCTTATCAAGGCTTCTTGCAAGTTTGCAAAGTGTATGCTTGTATTTGTTGTACTTGCTGTTAACATAATCGTTAAGTGCCTGTTCCATTAAACAATTTTCATCTTCACTCCGGATCGAATGCCCTTGCTTTCCATGCTCATCCACCACAACACTACCATGATCGTGTGAGTTTCTTTGCTCTTCTCCATCAGCCGTGTTATTGAGCACAAAATCGTCTTCATAGAACACTTTGCTACTAAAAATCATTACCAGGGTTTTTAAACTGTTCATGGTGCTCATTGATGGCAGGTGATTCAGCAGATAATCAAAGACCTTGGTGCTTTGTTCCCTACGCCGAAAGAAGTAGGAGAAATACTTCGTATGAAAAGGCTTCGCTATGATCGCACTTATTTCGTATTGTTCCTCTTTACGCATCCTCGAACAAAGCTTTTCGCCAAGATCTCCTTCGTAGCCGGTACAACACAATTCATCCAGCAACCTCTGCTCCTCTGTGCTAAGTCTTTTCGTTCTAAGTGTGTGTAAAATATAATCTATCGGTTCTATACTTAAATTGTGGAATCTTCTGGTCTGACCGCAGATAAAAGATAGAAATGGACACGGCAAATGGCTTATTTTGTTCTTTCCAGATGGCAAATCATCATCTAGCTGCACATGTTCGTTGTTGAGAGACATTTTTGTTTTCAATCTCTTGGTCAGTCCATCCGTGTCAGGACCAGAACTACCATATTTGCTTATTTCTGTGTCCGAATCGGAATCACCAAGCCCGAATGCATTATCTTTTACTTCATTTCTACATTCCTGAGACACACTCATGATCAACTCCCTTACCTGCGCATTACCCAAACAGCTTTCATTATTTTTGCCCGTCACAGAAGAATTCACCAAGTCAATAACATCACGTGATATTTTGTTCGTACCAGAAATCATCAACACGTAAAAATACCTTTGCTGTTCAAGAAAAGACACCAATTGGCAGATACCAGCATTTGAATGTCTTGCCAGAAAGAATACCAAGCAATCCAAACAGACGTTATCAACCAACATCAACGAATTTTCGTATGAGAGGTTGACTTTGCAACGTAAGAACAGTTTGAAAAGCATTACATTGATATTATCGATGGTTTGTCCGTTCACATATGCTTTTATTTTGCTCTGGAGCGAGTGGTAATGCTTACTCTGCAGAATTTCGTTTACAACCAGTTCTTCAATCGTGAACAGCTTTGGGATGAGAAAGCTGTCTCTCACACTAGCTATAAAAAATGGCACGGTGTGCTTGTCAAGCTTCAAAGTGTTTAGTTCAATCTGCGATAGATTTTCTATGAGCACCTTTACGTGCTTGGCAACTGTCTCTCTCCTAATTTTGTTGCCAGGTTTACCATTGATGATCACCTTTTCATCCCTCATGCCAACCATACTGTTATACTCTTCGTTGCGGTTGTTGCACATGTGATCTGCCGTACCAAGCATTCTATCCAAGTTTGACGTGTTCACGCTTGTATCCAAGCTAATCGCTGCTTCACAGCCTGGTAGGTTCTCTTCATCGTTTTCTTTTTCTGAACATACCATCGAACACCGATCTAGATTTGTGCAGCCTGGTAGGTTCTCTTCATCGTTTTCTTTTTCCGAACATACCATCGAACACCGATCTAGATTTGTGCAGCCTGGTAGGTTCTCTTCATCGTTTTCTTTTTCTGAAAATTTGGCAATAAACTCAGAAGTGTCTTCAATGCTGCACAAATCTAGATTGGTGTCCGATGATACTCCATTTGCGTTCGGAATCGCTGCGAGGCCGTCCCACTGGTTCAGATGCTCTGACATCGCTTCTATCATTCTTAATCTCATGTGACTTGAGAGTCCGTAAGTCCACAACGGTAGTTCATCCAATGCCATCAACTCGTCCATCCGGTTTAACAGGTTGGCCTCAAAGTAACGGATGACCGGTTGAATCGCCGGTAACTCCAAATCAAGTTTGCCTACAACTGCCGTGTGGCACAGCAACTCCTTCAAACTCATCAAACTGGTCTCTTTGTACCGAATGGTGATGTTTCCCACCTCTTTATACAGTCTGAACAGCAAAGAATGATCCTTGTCCAACACGTTGCTAACCACATCTAGCGACTCAATGCTTCCGCTGGTTAACTTTCTCTTAATGGTGTTATAGTAGCACTCACTGTCATCCGCCATCTCCAAGTTTTTGCTTCCTATTTCAGCACCAAAGGGTGGGAATTGTTGTTGAAAATCATCTGAGAAGCGGTGCGATTCGCTGTGAGCGTTCAGAGATCTGATGAACAAAATAAATGTTTGCGCCATTTGTATTTTACAACGCCTTTGCATCGTTTTGTTCTAACGGCTCGCTGTATCATCCAGAACCAAACGGTGCAAATGCGCTTATCGCTACCAAGAAAATGTTCTTTTTCATTTTTGTGAGTACCGTAGGAAAAGGATTGTGTGCATGGTGCAGCCCGGTGTATTGCAGGTTTTGGACACTTGTTGCGTTATTACCTGTCCTTTCTTGTTGGAGCAGAATTGAATTTGTCGCCTACATCATATTGGTAGTATAGCACGTTTGATTGCTCTTGACCATAGACCCAGCCAAGAGAATACTTCATAGTGGTGTCGCATACAACATGATTAGCGCACGAAGATGGCACAGATCTTATTTTACGACCTAAGGCTTACGCTCTACATTCTTTATTGAGAAGGTCTTACCACTCCGCTTACGTCGTTAATTTTTTACGTTCATTCGAGCCATATAGATCATAACGATGTATTTGCTGGGTCTAGCGCTTCTTTCCATGCAGTATTTGCTTTATTTCGGTGCTATTGCGCAATTTTAGTGGAATTGAAATGCATTCTCAATGGAATATGAACAGTAATTAATCAGCTTGGTAGAAAATTTTATTGTTTAGGGAAGGTACCTTGTCCGTAATTGGCATGAAATGGTGACAAGCCAGCTAATTGCACCGTTTTACGGGTCTGTAGATTTTCCTGTCTCTCATCATCGATCAAAACCGAATTTTCTGGTAAGCTTTCGTATGATTGCACCGCAAAAGGTAAATAGTGTGCGTAATTTGTTCTTGAATTGGCAGGATATCAAAGAGTACTGAGGTAATGGCATCATTTCTGCAAGTAAACTCGATCATAAACATAGAAAATTTGAAACAAACGAGCATTTTTGTTCTTTTTGCTAACTTTGCCATGCTAGTATGATGTGGTAGAAACTTAGCCTAGAACCATTGACAGCATCGAAAGATTTTAGTGACAAAAAACTTTAAGCACCGGTGTAACTACTAGTGCACCAACAGTGCTAAGTATGATTGGCACACCGTTCAACAATACATTAATTTTAAGGTAAGTATTTCTGCCAACCTAGATTATTAGTCTAAGTTACGCAAATTATGAGCAGATGCACACTAAACTACCGCTAGTACACATTTTATGGTATAACGGTTAAACAGTACTTATAGTGTGGCTAATACATGCAGCAGGTACATTGCTGCTTTATATTTATTACGAACCTGCGTAATCGGGCCTTAGGTGTGAGAATAATTGTTAAAATTTTTGAAAATGCATCAGTGCTAATTTTGGAAATATAACAAAATACTAGTAAAAAAATTTAGATCGTTGCAAGAAAGTAAGGAAAAATTATAACTACGGATTTATACATCGAACAATATTTATTTTCTTCAAATAACACATCGTTGCTGTAAAGTAAACCTAAGTTCTCAACTTTACCACTCCGGCAAGGATTGACAGAATAAACATCTGCACAATAACAGCAAATGCTGCACCGTGTGTTCTGCGTGTTATATTCAGAACATAGTTCTAATATTTTTACTGAAACCAATTTACTTATCTTCCCGTATTACCATTATGTACGCCTGTTTGTGTCAAATTGTTCTACAAAAATTTTGGTCATTGCTCACCGACCAATTTGACAGGTTGCATTTTGTGCCACCGAGGCTTTCTTTGCAGCAATACTGTACGCTTTCTGACGTAAGAGACAGCACTTTTAAGAAATGATTTTAACAACAAGTCATTCATACGCCACAATTACACAAAACAGGATATTTCGTAAAAATAATCGTGAGCCATTCATTTCACACGTTCTCGTACAGGAATATACTTATTTAGAGTGCACATTATTACCTATCTATCGCATTTATTGATATGCTCCGTTTATAACTTATTACCTGCCAGCTATCAGATAGCTAGCTTGTTTGTAGGATCAAAATTTCGTGATAAAACAATTGCCATTTTAGGCGATCTGCGGTGGGATCAAAAATAAATGAAAGTGTGCCATTCCTTTTTTTGACTATTTGCTGGATCAGTTCGTTGCTAAATCGCACGATAGCAATCGTATAAACCAAGAGTAACCAATTTTTGGCGTGTTTCAAGATGACACATGTCAGTACTTTGAAATGCTTTACATCCAAAGCAGAACCTTTACACCGTTTTCTTCGTTAGTCCTGCCTATCCGGTGTTAAGAAAAATGTTCCACGGCTTCTTCGTTAGTGAACAGCCCTATATTATTGAAACATAAATATCACGGCGTAAACAACACAAATGCTCATCGCGCGGAAGTAAATGATATCGAGGTCTCTTGCCGTACATCAACGAAACAGCGTGATGAAAACAGCAAGTAAGAAAGAAACATATTAGTTTACTAATAAAATTCCATATTACTCGCAGTATATTCGTAACTTCCTTATCTATCATATTCCATTCTTTATTCGGTCCGACAAATAACGCAACGAGTTGAGCGATGAAATTCCTAATATCTTTGCTGAAACACATAATATACCGCCTAACGTAAGTATTTTATCAGCAATTCTGCGGCAATGCCATCAAAACATGGTCTCCGCTCTAAAATAATATGACATATATGGACATACCATAATTGAAAAAGATTAGAAAACTTATTGAAGTAAACGCGAAGAGAACACTGCCAAACCACCAATATGGTGTGTATGCCCTTCAAGAGCACGTTGTATGTTACAAATGCACATATCTCTTGTAAAACATTGTTTTAGCTGCGATGGCCGTCAAAATACCTTTTGCCCCTACTTCTCGTTTGTTTCAGATTTGCATTTTATTTATATAAATATTCACCAAAACAAATAACCCATGGTAGATTCGCAGCTCAACGAGTCGCAATTCGTTCGCCGAGTTGCAAAAATACAGGAGTCGATATCGATGCCGCTTTTGACAATTTTAGGCAAAAAATTAGAAGTGGAAGATTTTGGGTCAAATAGCGCGCTCTTCATTTATCTACTCAACTACGAATTTCCTGAGACGTTGCTCTTAATAACGAAGGACATGTGTTATGCGGTCACGAGCACGAAGAAAAAAGAAATTCTTGAAAGCATGCAATGCGCGAAACTCAGGGTGTATGAGAGGATGAAGGATGGGAGCAGCGACAGCTTCATAAGGAACGAGCTGATCAAGATCACGGATAGCGTGCTTTTGAGCGAGAAGAACAGTTTGCACGGCCACTTTTGTTCCACATACATAGGTGCCTTTAAAACGGTTGATTTTGAGATGGGAAATCTCTTCATTCAGAAAGAGGAAGAGGAGATCGAGTATGTTGAGTGTGCAGCCCTGTTTGTCACGTACCTGATGGAAGAGGCAATCAAAATGATCAGAAAGGGTGAGGTGTGTGTGGAAAGCAAACTAGAAAGACACCTGGACACTCCTAACAAACCATTTGATCTCAAGCTGTCACAAGTTGAATTTACGTACAGCCCGCGTATTGTGAGGGACGAAGATGCAGTAACAATCAGCATCGGTGTGCGCTACCAGTCCTACTGTGCAGAAATACAGCGTGTTCTGTTCTATGATGCGGACTATCTAGAAATTTATCGGAGGAGAAACGAAAAAATACGGAACCGAAAATTCGAGAACCTCAAGTCTCTCGGGCTTTTGCAGCGCGAAGGATTGCGTAAGGACGAGGATGGTACGTTTGTGATGAAAACAGATCACGAGAACTACACGATCATTGATGTTGTGAAGTGCACTGATGGCAAATTTGAGGTGCTTACCGATGATATAACATGGCGTGAGAGCGAGAAGAAAAATTTTGTTGCCGAAGACTTTCTTATCGAGCGGGAGAAGACCAACATAGAGAAGAAGAGACTGAGCAGACAGAAGGCGCTCGAAAAAGAGATTGAAATCAACGAACACCAAAAAGAACTTATGGATAAGCTAAATGATGAAATGGTAAGGTATTACTCCGACATGGAAACAACTGAACCATTGGAAACGATGTCCAAGAAATTGGTGGCGTATGAGAAGGAAAGCCAGTTGCCAAGGAAGAACAAGCTTGTGATTGACAGGAGAAATTTTAGCATTTTGATACCCATAAATGGATATATGGTGCCGTTTCATATCGAATACGTTAAAAATTGCAGTTTGAACGGAAACGACCTGCGAGTGAACTTTAGAGAGGGCGAAATCATTAAAAGCATCACCTATAGGAGCAAGACGGCTAATTCGCTGTATAATGAGATCGGCGATGCGAAGAAAGAATATGTAGAGAGGCGCGAGACGAGTAATGTAGGCGAACAGGGAACGCTGTGTGAGATAAAGGGAAGAAGGCATATTTTGGGCGACGTCAAGATTAAGACAGAGGTACGTACGCAAAAAAAGAGCAGGGCAGGCAACTTGGAGCTACACGAAAACGGATTCAGATTTGGCGATACAACCATTTTGTTCAATAATATCGAGCATTTGTTCTACCAACAAGGCGATGTGTATCTTTTGCATTTTAAGCTGGCCCTCCCGATCATATTTAACGGCAAGAAGGCCTACAACGTGCAGTTCTTCAAGGAAGTTGTGGAGAATATGAGCATCGATATCATGAAGCTGCATCCTTCGCAGAAGGAACGCCTTGAAGAGGAACAGGAAAAGATACGCCTCGAGATGATCAAGGCTGAATACGACAACTTCATAAAGAACGTGGAGAACAACAGCAATTTGCGGATAGATCGTGTCAGTAAGGATGTGTACTTCGAGGGAGTGCCGTACAGACAGAACGTGCAGATACGGCCAAGCAGCACGTGCCTGGTCAATCTTCTCGAGCCGCCATTTCTTATTGTAGATTTTGAGAAGATGGAGGTAGCAAATTTTGAGAGAGTCAACTACGTATCGCGATCATTCGATCTCACATTTATCTTCAAGGACAAGACATTCATCACGATCACATCCGTTGACTCGCGGTCCATGGATTACCTGCGTGAGTTCATCGACAGTCGAAATATCTGTTTCATCCAGACAGCACAGAATATCAACTGGAACAATCTGCTGAAAACCATAAAGGAAGATCCTTTTACGTTCTACAACGATGGTGGCTGGTCTGCCCTGCAGCCCATGAGGGAAGACAACGATCAAGAAGAGTCAAGCGCAAGCACGTTAAGCAGTCCAAGTAGCGTGTCGGAAGCAACGATGAGCGATACGGAGGGGGAGGACGAGAGCCTCGAGGAAGAGGTAATTGAGGAGGATGACGATGATGACATTGTTGACTTAAATGACATTGACAGCGAAGACGAAAGCGAGGAGGATGATGAGCAGTGGAATAAAAAGCGAAGGATATGATAAGAGTTGGTGAAGTAAATTATAAGTATACTGTCCATGTTTATGGCCCCTGCTATTTTTTTATAACGTTTCTTCTCGTAGCTGCACTTGAGAGCCTTCTTAGAATCCTTACGCAGAAAAGAGGCGGCAGTATTTGGTTTGGCATCGCTAACTTGCTTTAAGATCTGAAATGGTCGATTGGACGGGTTAGTATGCACCTCGTTTCTGGAGTTGGAGATCGAACCCGCTGTGAGAAGATAGTTCGATCAGTACATGCTTGGCAGAGAACTGCAAATAGGTCGCAACGATAAATAAGCAATAATGCAAAGTTTTATGTCTCCTCGTTGTCTTACGTGAGAGTTGCGCGTATGTCTTTGCTGAAGCAAGTTTGGTGGAGCTGTGCAACCTCTCCGTGTAGTACAAGGCCGAAGGGGCCGTTCAAAGATAGGGAGGTGCCAGTTCCTCGTAGCGGGTGTTAAAAGACAGGCTCTACCAGAGGTTTAAATCCATTGGGAGCAGTCCTAAGATATGTGCTGGCGCTAACCACGAACATTGGTATCTCTCAAGGAGTGGTGTTGTCAGCCATTCTATGGTTGTACAAACAGGCTGCAGGGGCCGATAGCCAAGGGCTCAGCTTGTGCAGGTTTTCAGGAAGCACGTTTTACGGAATAGGTGTGTGCGGGGCAAGTGGTACATTAAGCCATCGTCAAAACAAAAATTAATTGCCTTTTAGCACAAACGGTGAAAGTTTACCTCCAATACCAGCGTGGATGTACCGGTTGTTGCTCCTGGAAAGTAAAGACCGATAGCCTCGATGGGTGAGCCAAGAAATGGCTTACAGGTTCACCGCTATCGATGAGAAGAAGTAGTGCTTAGATATTGATGCACGGCAGGTGATGTATTAGGTAGGAAGGTTTAATAAAACTCTTTCACGCTGAAGAATCATAAAACAACGAGAACTGATACAAACCGTGAATCTCCGTCTCCAAACGGAGAAATAATAGTTTGATCTACTGTAACGATCTGCTCGTTCACAAACGGACCAGCACGGCCGAGAGCAAGCGAGCACGCTTCACGATAAAGAGAGCAAAAGATGCCTAAGCATTTCTTTACTTAAAATACCCGTAAAGCGATCCAAATTGCTCATAGAGGCGGATCGTACAGTGTCAAATCGCTGTTACTCTTATTAATACATTCTTTGGAACAGTCAACCGCATTAAATTCGTTCACCAGCTCAGAGTGGTACAAGGAGCTTCCAGTTAAACAGTCGGTGATGCTTTTGAAGAGCGTCTTGTAGTTGCTGTTGTTGAACGACCCGTGCACCAGGTCAATGTTACTTTTGAACACACTGGAATACACCCACCGTGTCGTTGCCGGCCACACCTGCGAGCTAAACTGCAACGATGATTCCAAGTAACCACGGTCTCTTTCAAGCACATCCCTGCATACCCTCGTATGCTCCATCCTATTTTTGCAGATGTTCAGCCTGATCTTGAGCACACCAAAATCAGGATATTCATTCTCGTTCGGCATGTAGCCCTCTTTTGACGAGTCATAGGGATCAAAGGCATTTATATTAAACACCGATTTGTTGAAGAGGTTCAGAGCGTATATTCCCTCAATTATGAGCACCTCTGGAGAATTATTGCACACCATCGTTGGACCAGATGATTTTCTGCTCACGAACGAGTACTGGTACGTTGGTATGAACTTCTCTCCGTCGTGTATTGCGCGCAGCACACCGTGCACCTTGTCCCAATCAACCGATCCAGGATTATCAAAGTCGTACTTTGTTACGTCCGACCCAGTGAATGATTTGAAGTAGCCGTCCATGTGGAGTATGAACGTGGGAACATGTCCCTTCAGAGATGCGTACAGGTTGTTCGCAAAGGTGGTCTTGCCGGATGTACTTGCACCGTGTATCGCTATCACCTTTATGCGGTTGTTCAGTCGATGTCTTACCACGTAAGCAACGTCATCAGCAACTGCGTTTTTCTTTTCTTTCATACAGAGGGTCTGCAAAAAATGCAACGGTGCTTAATAAAGGTACTTTGTTTGTTTGATCTAATATGATTGCTTGCGGCAGATCAGGCTGTTTTATGTTTTTTTACGGTCCTGGGATATTCACGATGTACCAAACAGTTTTTTACTCATTCTGCCGAGCAACTAATCAAAATTTTTTAATATAATCATCCCGGTCACAGAACCAAACAGAATTTGTTTGCTTTCGTTTGTAACGCTTTAATTGAATTACACAACGAATGTGAACACTTTTCTGTGCAAGGAGTACGAATCAAGCAAAAGTAAACTAAGCTAAATGATCGAATGTTGGATTGAACAGTGCATTTAACTGTCTTGCAAACATTTATGTGCCAAATTCTCTTCATAACTCATTGAACAGTTAATTTGAACATTAAACGGGTCGAAACGGTATTATGAAGCGTTTAGCGATTTGTTGGCACTAAACGGCGTATGAACGGAGAATATCACACATAAAATGTGTTAAGTGATGTACAAACCATAAGAACAAGTTAAGATATTTTCATGTGATGAGTAATTTAGACTGTCTGTTCTCCTGCGGTCGGTATATGACATGCGAGCAAAGCGGTATAGCGAATTTGGTACAACAAGGTGCAATGAAGTGTTAACGGGCACAAATTACGGTTCATTCTCTATAAAAGTATGTGGCATGCCATGCATCTCCGTAGGACATTAACTTTTCTAGGAATAAATTAGGTACTCAAATGTGACGTGCACTGCACACATAAATTAAAATAATTAATTAACCCTAGCAATAATGAAGTGCTTCGGCTACTTGTCCCGTAATTACCCGCTATTAAAAGGTACTGTGGCTTAGCAAAAAAATACCAAGCGTAGAACTGTGATTCCGATACTTAAATACCATACGAATAAAATACTATTATAAGAATTGTTTTAATGAAAGTCTTACGTGTGAATGATGATATCAGCACCATCGCGAATTTGTTTTTACGTGTTAGTAAATTTGTTGGCGCTATTTAATACGACTAACCGTTTCGTTCGAGTGGTGCTTATAAATTCTAAATTATCAACAACTGTCGTTTAACGTGATAACATTCTCAGCGTAGCAGGAGTGGTGTTCGTGCTATCGTGTTTATTTTTTAATTGGTAAAACTCTGCTTATCAAAATGACTATCAAACATTCTGAAACAAAATGCGTTTCATTTCATCATTTATATAGATTTCGCTTCGTCCACCTCACCCTTATGTCGGATTTTATTGCTACACAACTGAAAAAGGTTGAGCCATACCTCAAGAAATTAGGTTTGGAGGCGGACGCACAGAATTTTACAGGAAACGTGATTAACATCATAAAGACCAAAAAGAAGTACAATATAGTATTTATGGACGTGTTGCATAGCATTATAACGCACAATCAGTGCACAGAATACGACGAAGTTTTAGATCTTTACTATTCGTTGAAGCCTTCTATGCTGGTTATAAAGGCGCTGAGCACAACGCTGTATATGCTGCCCTTTCTGAACAACGAGCAGCTGAAGAAGCTCTTTGTGTTCAACCTGGCGATATGCAACAGAAAGCACGAAAGAGAGGTGGCAACAATCGCACAGGCAACGACAATACAGATGATTACAACAATAAGGGACGAGAGAACGGATGATTTACCGGCTATCATCGATCTGTTGGACGAAAAAAATGTTTTCAACCTGAAACTTCTGAAAGAAGTGATTGCATACATCGACAAGCCGGTCAACTTACGTTTTGAAAGCGATGATTGGGACTATAAGAAAGAGGCTATGAGCCTTATCGATGAAAGGAACAAGTTTAAAGTTGATATAGACTATTTTATGATGTACTACGATAAAAACGAGGAGATAATACTTTCGGCATTCTTGGGGTGCAACAGACACAGTATCAACAAGAACGGCCAAACGATACAGAACATGGATGACCAGGTGGTAAAACTGAACCAGCACATTCTCAAAGACAATGATGACGTTATAAAATTGCTTGAGCCGTGCATCAAAAACATCACCTTTGCGAACTCGCCGATAAACACCTTGCGATTCATTTTCATTTACACGGTGTGCCAGAAATACCGCGCGAACACCACCAATTACGTTGAGCTGCTTGCCGAGAAGTACGAAAAAAGTTGCTATGATACGTATGTGGTGAGTATTGTTGGAGTTGTGATCAAGAGCTGTTTGCTGGATAGCCAAAAGAAGAACAAAATTGATTTTAAGCGGTTCAACGAAAACGTAGGCGGTAGCTATGCAAGCGACCTGACCAATGAAGGCAGATATGAGAATGTAAAACTTGATGGTGGAAACGAAGCAGATAATGCCGAAGAGGGATGTTCACTTGCATCATTGGATATAGAACACGATCACAACAAGAGTGACGATGAGGAGAATACCGAGGAGTGGCACGAGGATTATGAAATAGATGCTGCAGAAACTTTGACCCAGGACAATGAGGAAAACAAAGTATCTGGTGACATATGCCTGGGACAGAACAAAAATGATGATGATGTCGCACTGATAAATCCGCTACTCCTCTTTTTCGTCAAAGCATTTCCCAAAGAAACGATTGATCTCATATCGCCCCTACAATTGAACACCTCATGGCCAATCGTGATAAACAACCTGTCGGATGCGCATGTTCTTGCTTTGTTCACGAAGCACATCGTTGATCTTTCGAACTTCATACTCTACAATAACCGGTTTGTCAAGGAGATGTACTTTGCTACCTTTAAAAACCTGTGTGAAAGTGATTTCCGCAACATCCTGTTCAAACTGGAACTGTACGAATGTGAAAGCGTAGTTTTGGAATATTACCGCAAAAATGATAACGAGGATGTCATCGTGGATTACCTAACGAGGCGTTTACAGCCGGCAGGCGAGTCATTGGATCTGACCGCTCAAAAGTGCTTGAAAAGTGACTACACAGAAAGAAGTGACGATGAAGCAGATTCTGCCAATGAAAACAATTCCTCTGTCTCAATAGACAATAATAACCTCATTCTTAAGATTGTTTATCAACTGATCAAGATAAAAGTGTTTAAGAATCTCGATTTCATTTTCACATGCCTGGCAAACAGCACTAACAACTCCTTGAAACTCAAAATACTGGGCATCATCTCCAAAAAAGAGCAGAGCACCCGTCTTATAAAATCTATCTTCGGTGTTGCAATGGATAAGAACATCAACTTGGCATTAGCAGCATTAGAACTGATACGAAGCGTCGAACTCAATGATACGACGTACTTATATTCGCTGATCACATTGATAAATGATGAAAGACTCGATGTGTATGATACGGCCATATCTATCCTGTTCAGCGTTCTGAACGGACGAATGGTGGAGGGCGATCTTGCGGACGAGTGCATCGGCGAGGTAGTTAATAGGATGGAAAGACTATGCTTCAGAAAGGAATATAACGGTTTTGAAAACAGAAATGATTCCGAAGTTGGTGAAGATGCCGTCCACAATAATTTGAATGTCTTAAGCGCCGCTCAAAACGTTAATGGCTCGGACAATAATGAGAATAACAGCAATTATCTTACAAATGACGGAGAATCATGTGTTGAAGATGGTGCAAAGACAAGTAATGTGCAAAAAATAGTATCAAGAACCTTTGTGCGGAAAGATTTGGTTGACAGCCACCAAATTTATGAGAAGTTCTTACTCTCATCATATCTGACTCCGAACATGCTCTCGCCTCGCCAAGAAAAATCTGTCAAATTTACTTTTTCCGAACTTACCAACTTCATTTATCTTCACCAGAGTACAAACCTTAGCGACTCATTTTTTGTTTTTCTGTCCGAACTTTTTTTGAAATGTGCATTTATATGTGAAAACGTGATCAATTTTATGCTTGAATATAGAAAAACAAGTTATGTGCTGTTCGTATGTTACTTACGAATGGTTAGAGAGGTTGGCATGGGTTACAAGGATCAGGTGTATGAAAAAATGCTCAAGCTTTTTTTCAATTTCCTCAACTCCAATGAGACTGACGCTACGAACGACTTTTCAAACATTCACATCGATACGCCAGGCATTTCACAGTCTATCGATGCGCAACCAAGTAGTGTGATGGAGCAGCCCACGAAACTGCACCATAACGTGGAAAACGACCGAGTGACGGAGTTCTCAATTGCAGGGATCAAGATCAAAAAGAGCGAGATAACAGATCTCCTTCACTCACTCTCTCGCTTCCGTAACTACGAGGTTCTTCAGATTACAAAGACTCTTCCGCAGGACATCGTGTTGCCGTTCTATATGGACTGGCTCCCAGATCCTAAAATTATAGAAGTAATAAACGATGGCTCGCAATTCAGCACAGAGTGTTTGAACAAATTAATGAAGATAAAAATGAACTGGGAGGAAAAAGCAGGTATCCTACAAAATTTGAGGATTGAGGAAGACAATCTGGAGACATTCATCGAAAACAGCACAGAAGTAATGATAGAGGGATTTGATAGTTTGGAAAGCGAGCGATTTATGTCCAGCATTGCGTGCCATAGCTCTATGTACGGCGAAAATAACACTGTGAACCTCAACATATCACATGAGATACCAAGCAAACGATGTGACAGAGAAAGGGAGAAAATAATTATCTGCTATCTCACCAAATACTACGAAATTTTGAGGAAACACAAAAAATTAGATAGTAAATCGTTACAAGTCTTCTATCACCTTTCGAAAGTGAAGAAAAGCAACATAAACGTATCGTTCCATGCCTACAAATATCTTTTCGAAATCAAACCAGACTATTTGTGCACGAGAATAAAGGAAGCAATATGCGAATATTTAGTGGATTTGATAAAATATGAACATTTGTTCAACAGGTGCAAAAGAGATGAGATCATGTATATTTTGGATAAAATGGATAGAGAAACAACACTGATGGTCGGTAAAAGCATTATAGAGCTATTGAAGTGCAAGGATTTAGAGGTAATAGAAAAAGTATATTGTGTGCTGAAAAGCATATATTAAAAGTTTTGATTTTTTATGAATAAGTAATTGTCCAAAACGCTTTGCTTAGATTATTGCGGCTAGCATATTTCGTATTTACTTCATAATTGGACAACCAAATTTATGGAGAAATAAATAAAAGTATTTTGGTGAGGAGAAGATTTTATTTATACATTCTGTCTTCAGACAAATAAAAAATAGTATAGTAAATACTGTAAGGGGCAATCAGAAATAGTATGTTTTATCGTACCATAATTATATGTGGATTAGTGGAAAAGTATCGCTTAAAGCACATATTTATAAAATTAACGTAGTGCTTTTCCTAGAACATGTCAAAAACTATGTTGCGGTGTACAGCTATGAACACTCTATACCCAAAAATATATAATTGTAATTGCAACTTACTTATATATTAACCGTGCCATTTCTGTTTTTATGATGAATAATAAACTTCGCCGTTTACTTCAATTACCGTTTAATTAACTACTATGAAAGACACGCTGTTCTTCTTTGCATCAAAATTTAATTTTTTCAACGCTATAATCAACTTATCTGCGTATTTAACGTAAATGCTTAACCTAACTTCTGATACACGGAAATAAAATGCTCGAACCATTTTTTTATGCTCAACACTCAGTAATGAGTGACTTATATCAAGTTTTTCGATCTGCCTAAGCTTAGCAATGTACTTAAAAATATCTGAATTATTGATGATAAAAGCCATCAGTCTTAGCTCTTTGCATTGCGAACGCACTCTTTTGTGGTGGGTAACAAGCACTTGGCTTTTCTTACAACCAACTACGTACATAATCTCAATTGAGCTATTTCTTTCCAAAATCTTTGAGATATCGATAGACACATCAGTAACATGCAATGTCAGGAGTTTAAGATTACCGGCCCTAAACACGTGTTTTTTGAAAAGAGAGTAGTTCTGAGGACATATATCGATCATCAAAGATGTTAGATTAACATGAAGTGATAGATCTAACATAGTACAATATATACTGTTCTCCAATTCAGGCAAATAATTGCTTGAAGAGTTTCTTTCAACAGGGAATTGGCACACTTGAGACATTTCCTCGTTATGAATGGGCTCGCACGCCACACATATAATGTTGATAGAGGTCAGGCTGCGTAGTTTGCTTATATCAAACCGGGAACCGTTGCACAATGCGTTTTTACGGAACATAAGCTCGTTCAAATTAGCCATTTGCTCACTATTAAATATCCGATCTAGTAACTCGACATCAACAGTGCACTCTGTAAATCTTAGTTTTGTAATCTGCATTTGTTCAAGAAGATCATAAAATCCCTTATTTTGTAAGCTTAGTCCAATGCAAATAAAACTTTCTAAACTTACTTTGGGTATATCAGAAATGGTAGTTTCTACAGGCTCGGTGTATGTGATTTCTACTCTTTCGAGTACAATCTTGTTCACAAGTTTAGATTCACAGATCTGACGAATTGTCGGTAAATTAATTTTCATTTCAATGAACTTGATTTTGAGTTTCCGATCAATAGAATCATCCGGATTCGGCAGAACAATAGTCCAATCTTCCTTAACCAATACGATACATTCCAAATGAGGACATTCTCTGAGAAATTCACCAAGAATTATTTGTGTAGATGATGGACCATGCTCGTCCTTTTCAAACCTCAATGTTGTTATATAACGCTTATATTGCCGTGAACTATAAGTGTTGATAGACACCTCATCATCCCACATAAGAGATTGATGCACTGACTCGGAGCATCTTTTCAGATAGACGAATTCACTCTTCTCAATAAAGCGGTTATAGACAAGCTTAGTAAGTTTCTTGCCAATTTCGTCGTTCATAGAAAATATTCGGGCTATCACAGTTTCAGACTCAATTATTTTAGGAAGTAAGAGAGTTTCAAGATTCACAAACCCGCCTATAACCCTAAGA